TTGGTGTGAAAGCACCCTAGACTTTTCAAGTAAGCTGTTGAAGTAGCCTTTTTTACACGTTAGCGCCTGTTTGTTTACGTTAGTAACTGCTAGCTTGGAATTCGCCAACTAAGTGACTGAGGGTGCATTCACACTGGCAGTTTAGTTCGGTGACTAACTAACGTTAGCCCAGTGCATAACAACAATCGTTTGTATGCATATGAGCGGATGCTGAAAATAGACAGGCGGCAAAACAAACACATTAATCGATACTCTTGCGGACGCATCGATGCATCGAATCGTCGGCTGTATAATCGATGCATCGATACGAATCGATTAATATTTACACTCCTAGTATACGCCGCCGGGTTATTTCTGTTTGATGCTCATTTTATCAGAATTTTATCAGATCTGTTTTTTTGCCGTAAAGCAATTCGTTACCTCGCGAGACCTGATATCACACGATACTTCCTAACACTGAGGCCGGCGGCTCGCCGGCCCAAAGTTGCAAGGGTGGTTTTGCGGCTCACAGGCACCAGGGGGGTGCGAGACGACCACCATTCAACACGAAATCAGTAATATAAACATTACAATGACTCCAAAGCTGTTCGGTTAAGGTAAAAAAGTTACTTAGTTCACCTTTAAATGGATAGTTGTCCCAAAAATGAAAATTCATGTCATTCCAAAACCCATAAGACTTTTGTTCATCTTCTACAAATGAAGATACTGTTAATGCAGTGGTTCCCCAACTTTTTAGAATGGCATTTAACATCCTTCTATGTACCCTCTTTCTCTTCCACTCTTCCACTTAGCCTGGAGTCACACCTTTTCTATTAAGGGACAATTTTTGCCCACCTTAAATTGATTTTCAGGTGCATTTTTTTTTTTTTTTTACCTTTTATAAAAGGCAAAGTTTTTCTAACCGTATTAAATGTATGTGTCACATTCTTAAAATTCCATTAATATAACTATTAATATATTAAATGAAGCAATAAGTTAAACAAAATCATTAATTTCAATCAAATGAAAAATTATCAACAAAAGCCATCTTTGCACTGCAGTGGTACAAGCTGCATCTAGATGTATTTACACACTCTTTAATCTTGCTCAGATGTATGAATGCAATCACAATGGCATAATGTTACGAGACAGTTTTAAGTTAAAAATGTTCAATAGAGAAATATGAAATGATGGTCAAAACGAAGGGATTCTTATAAATATTAAACTAAAACCGGCAGTAGGTGGTGGCAAGTCGCCGTCTTAATGAGTGAGTCATCGAGTCATTCATTCATCCTTTCATTGACTAAGCAAGTGGCTGTATTTTTGAATGGGTCATTGAATCATTGATTCTCCCAATTCGTTCAAAGCCCCAGATTCGTTCACTGACCAAACACTGCTACAACAGTTCTGCTGTGGCTTTCGGTGGAACTATTTGTAGCGCCACAATAAAAACAATTCAAAACTGAGCTGAGTGAAGGAATAACTTTTGTGACGCCAATCCTTTTAAGCTTGCATCTTGTTTTTTTGTACAGGTCTGCACTGTCAACAAAATATGTGTGTCAGCACTCACCGCCATTCTCCCATACTAAAGCCTAATTTATACTTCTGTGTCGAACTCACGCCGTAGCTATGTCGTAGGTTGTGTGTAGCACGCGTAGCCTACGGCGTACCCTGACGTGCACCTCTCAAAAATGTAACAACGCGTCAATTATACGCGGGCGGACCGCAAGTGCTGTGATTGGTCTGCTAGAACCCCTCCCTCGGGTTTCACATGATCCCTCTGCATGTGCAATTGCACGTCAACACGGACAATGACGCAGAAGTATAAATGAAATCTGACGCCTAGCCTACAGCATAGACACTACGTCGTTGGTCCGGCTCAGAAGTATAAATCAGCCATAACACATAACAGGTGTCTTAACCCCACTTATTAAATGACACTCCCCTTTTAGCATTGGTCACATTACTTTTCCATTACATGGCTCCTACACTGTTATCTAATTGCACAATAGAGCAAACTATACTCTATGTACATCACTTATTATTACAATTTAGTTTGTTTAACTGTTAAAATCAATGTCACATTTGCAATCGTGTGGATATTCGGGGGAAAATTGCATTACACTTGTATAATGTATTATCAACTTTAAAAACGATCTTACACTGTTTTATAGTATCAAAGCGAGTTTGAGTCTTAAATGGATCTCTATGCACAGTGTGTCTATATTTGTTTTTCATGCTAGTAAGTGCTAAAACCCCACTTTTCCTGTTTTACACTGGGGCCTTGTGCCTATTAGAAATACATGCTCGGTTTGAATGATATTTTATAGTGGGGTAGAATTAAATGAAAGGCAAAACTCATTTTGCATTTTGAATTTCAAAGCATTTTGTTTGCATACCCCCTCTGTCACCTCACGTTCTCCAGTTTGGAAATATGAGCGATTTCTCTCCCTGCATTGAAGCGTAAAATTTTTAGTTTAATGGACTTTCAAAGAGTTTATAAATTCTAAACGCAATCCATATGACTCAAGCTGTTTGATCCAAGTCTTCTGAAGAGACACACTATATGCACAGATTTAATTTAGGATTTTATGCACATATAAACAGTGTTCAGCACACATACATGGAGTACATCAAAAATGGTCAACAGAAGCTCAACCATACTTGCTTGAAGCACAAGATCCAATGAGGTTTGTTGTCGTTTATATAGACGTTTTCATTTCTGAAATGTACAGTATGTTTTCAGAGTACATTGAACTCTTATCTCAAAAGATCAGGGACAATTTGATTCCTCGTGATTCTTTAATGACCAATTTCTGCATTATTCAAACTAGAATATATACTGTAAATAGTCTCTGCTTTAATATAGGCTGTGCAATGTGCATGGACTGAATTTTACTTAGAATCAATCTGTAGTCCTGCTTGAACATGCTGCATGTACAGGGGGTTTGTTCATTCTGTCTTTCAGTGAATGTGAGTCATTAGGAAGCTGTCTGACACACTGTTGCCATCATGGTCATGTAAATTTCACCGCCTACATATGCAAGTCATGCCAGTGATGGCCATGTCTGCTGTTCATCAAACGAGCCTTCTCGATCATCATGCTTTACCAGTCACTCGTTTTTTTTCTCTATCCATCTCTCCAACCTGTCCCTTATTTTCCGTAGTGCTCTTGGCAGCAAAAGGAACATCTAAATATTTGTAATTGTGATTTAATTAAAATGGCTATCGTACTTTTTCAGTATTTATTATGGTGCTATGTTGGTTATTTATGATCTACTTTTTATGATTCAAAATTTAATTGAGAAGTTATTAGATTTCCAGCTTGGCATAAATGATAAAGAGCTCATTAGTATGTACAGATTTAAAGGAATAGTTCACTCAAAAGAATTCAATTGTGTCACTCACCCTTGTTGTTCCAAACCTTTACGACTTTCTTCCATGAAACACAAAGGAGAGTTGTTGAAGAATGTTCTGGCAATTTTCTATGAAATTCTATGAATAGACCTAAAACCAATCAGAGCGATGAAGGAGATGACGTATGCAGAGCGGAGTGTTGTTCTTTGCTCGGTTTTTGCCAAAAAGGAAACGTTCAAATCGCTGAACGAGTGATGTTCAACGGCGGCATCCATCTTTGTAATGTAGGCTACAAAATCTGCTTCAAAATCCCAGCGCTGTCGTCATCGTGTAAAGCCCGCCCCAACGTTTCTGATTGGTGCCTCGATTTCGACGGATTGGAAATGGGCTTGAATGAGCTCTTTGTCAGACTAAATTTCAGAGCAAATCTAAATTTGCCGGAAGTTGTCTGGGTTTTCCCAGGCTACACTTTTTGCCTATTGTTTTTTAAATACTGTGTATTCTGACATACTACACCCTTGGCATGCTGTTTTTCACATACTATATATTTAGGGAAGTACTGTAGGTATATTCAGACGTGAGGAGAATGCACTCTCTAAAAAATGCTGTGTTGCTTTTGGGTCAAATATGGACAAACCCAACTGTTGGGTTTAAAATTGAATTGAAAAATTTGAACCAATGGTTGGGTTTGTCCATATTTGACCCAAACATTGGGGTGAAACAACCCAGGATTTTTTTTTTTGTTGAAATTGAGTTTGCCATGATTAATCAGTGTATTGAATGATCTGTACTAGACTCTTGTTGACCTCTGTAGTGGTCGAATGGCAGCAGCTGCTGCGCAGATGTTCCTACCACTCACTGAGGTGACTTACCTCACACAATGCAACTCAATACAGCAGCAGCTCTATGACCCTCATCTGCTATCTGGGCTAGTCACACCAGTGGTGAAGTGTGTATAGTAGTAGATGACTTATAGACAACATCAATCAGTCATACAGTAATTTCATATGCTATTGTCTTCAGATTTAGAAGTACTTATTGTCTGATTCTTGATATTTTTACCCCTGAAGCTGTTAATGTTATTTTTTGCTAATGTTAGGTGTTGTAGTCGATATATGTGTTCAAATTCTGTTATATGCTCTAACTTGATTTACTTACACCTTTAATTTCACCTTTTAGTTAATAAGCTCATTTGGTAATTTAGGAGTTTAGTATGAGCTCTTGTCTTTTAAGTGTGTTTAGAGGCTTCTGGCCTTGAGTCAGCTCTGCAATCATGAGATCATTTGTAGATAGACCTGGGTTAATTACTGCTGCATAATTCATCCCTCATGAGGCTATAACACACACACCATCACTGGTACCTGTAGGAGTTCCATCTTACATTAGCTGCCTTTTTCTTTCCGAACTTGCCCATTTGTTATATCTTCCACCTAACATGGCTAATGGGAATAACATTTGGACTGAATAATGTCATTGATAGACTGATAAACTTTGTGATGGAATAAGAACTTTAAAGCTATTTTGTGGATAAACCTTTTCAGGTCCAATTCAATATCCATTACTGTGGTTTCATTTGAAATGTCTTTTTGATTAGCATTTTTAAAGTTTTATGCCCTCTAATTGCTTGACTGACCATCAGTCTGTCTTTCTTACTGTCTCCGTAGATCTGCAGTGTTTTAGAGTTGCATACGCCTCAAATTTACGGTAAGACCAAGCTCTCTGTACCTCTTTCAAAATATTTTCCCCCCCCGGTTGTGCTGCTTTTAATTGCCTTTTATTGCTGTAGAAAAGTCTTTCCCAGCCTTTTTTGTTTTATGTACACCAAACAGTCCCATTAGTAGGGCTCAGGTACCCCTTCATCAACACCAAACCAAAAATGTGTATTTATTTATTTATTTATTTTTATTGGATATCATTAAGCATTAGCATTATTAAAATGTGCATTACCCTCTATAGTTATTCACATTTAAACTAAAAACAATCAATACTTTGGGTGAAACACTGACTCAACCATTAATTTCTTTTCAAACTAAAGTGGTTTCTGTCACTTTATATTTAATAAAGTTTGATTGGCTAAAACATTTGGTGGTGAGAAAATAACAACACTGCTTCACAACACAAGCTTTCCTGTTTACTGAACTTAAAACTAAATCGTTTTTGCAAACTTAAATAAATAATAAATTAATAAATATTAGATTAAAAATGTAAACTTAATTACTTGTAGTAATAACTAGAAAATGTAAAAAATAAGTTACTAAAATTAGTCAAACTAAAATAAGAAAATAATTAAAGCTAAATAGAAATGTATAGAAATATGACAAACTTCAACAACAAAAATTAAAACGAGACCTGAAAATATAAAAAAGCTAATTAAAAATATTAATAAATACTGTATATCCTCCTGGGACCCAAGAATAGACTTTTGTCCACTGTAGTGGACATTATATTTTAGTGAATTTCTCTGACATCATACATGTCACATGACACAACCTGGGTGCAGTGGCGCAAAAAGTGAGAAGGGTCTGGCTGCAGACTTGCACTCTCAGACTTGCACGCTCAGACTTGCACGCTCAGACACGAGCGCTTCCGCTGCAAGTGACGTCACTTGCAGTCGACACCTGCTCTCCGCTACCGGCTGTGGCGTCACTTGCAATCCCTTGTTCTCCGTGTTATTTCACAGAGTCGATTGATGCCAGATTTGAAGATAGCCAGCAAGTGGTGTTTGGATCAATCTAGTGCACTGCATGGATCTGTTCATTTGCCCAAAGTAGTGTGTATGGAGGAACAAGACGTTGCGGAAGCCATTGAGAGATTAGAGAAGGCTGAGTTTCCACAGGACAGAATCGATGCTCTGGAACCCTTTTGCTTCATCTTTACTGTAATGAATGACATGCAAATGTTTCTTGAACATGTAGTCGATGTCATGAAATTAAAGGTAAACTGTCGAACTACACTAGAGCAAAGTGAATAATGTGCTAATGTGTTTTTATATATTGTCTATTTGTACCTTGTATTTGTCTATTTTGCACATTAACTGTGTACTGTAAATTGACATTTACAATAAAAAAAATAAAATAAAAACTTAGCCCCTCATCATCTTGATGTTTTTCATCTACAAACTGTTCCCACAAAGTTGGGAGCATGAAATTGTCCAAAATGTCTTGAAAATAATTAAAAAATAATTAAATATATAATAATAGTAAAAATTATTTCTTTCTTTCTCATAACTGAGTTTTGATTTCTAAGTGATCAATTTATGTACAAGTGTTTTCCCACATGATTATTGGCTGTAGGTCATCAGTAAATTAATGTGGCATTTAAATGCCAGTGTTTCCCAAATGAAACACAAGAGCTGTTAGTTTTGAATGATGTGTGTAATGTAGAGAAATGTGTTTAGAGTTTTGCAAATAGTTTGTTTTTCAAATGCAAACTGAGTGCAAAGCATATAATGTCCTTGTATTTTTGCAGGCTTGGTCTAAAGATTGGGTAGCATGAGTGAATGGTTTCACTGAGTGAGCCTCAAATTCCACTTGTAATGTTTTAGCAATTTGAAAAAAACTGTCAACAAAATGACAAATGACACCTTAACACGACCAAAATGAGCGTGTCTACGCGTTCAAAAGAAACACGTAAAAAATTGCCGCGGACAAACACTGCGTGTTGACGCGGTCACGCGTTCCGTAGAGAGCAGGCGTCGATTGCAAGTGACGTCACTTGCAGCGGAAGCGCTCGTGTCTGAGAGTGCAAGTGACGTCACTTGCAGAGGAAGCGCTCGTGTCTGAGCGTGCAAGTCCGAGAGTGCAAGTGACGTCACTTGTCTGCAGCCAGACGCTATTGGAAAAAGTGGGTATGCGCTATATGCGGCGCATAGGGGCGCAGCACCATGGGGGGCGCCAAAGCGATGGTAAAAAAAAAAAAAAATATGCCTATATTGTATTTTCTATATGTAGCTGCTGTTGTGCGTTTTTTAAATCATTTCTGCATTTCTTCAATGTTATATAAAATTTTAGAGGACTAACAGGCTAGAGTAGGCTCCCTCATGGAGAAGGGGGGGCGGGGTGATATCGCGAGCGCGCGGGGGCGCCGTGAGCGCTGAGCGAGCAGGTACGAGTAGTGAGTTGTCGTCGAAAAAGATGGATAAAACAAAATGCTGTGGGGCTAAAAATAGAAAAAGAAAGAGGGAAAAGGAGATGGCATGTCAACTGATGTGACAGCAGCTAAATAAGTGCATGCTGAAAGCCAACAGGTAGGATTTAAAGTGTGACATCCAGGCATGTAGGCTATCTCTGTGGCCATCGGGACTACCGGGAGATTCCCGGTGGGCCGACGTGCTTTTTCGGCCGATACATCTCATACTTTTTTTTTTTTTGTCTTAACGGCCCATAAAACTCTTACATCGGCGGCCCATTGGTTTTGTTTTGTTTTTTTGTTTTGCTTAATTGGCGGCGCTGGGTTAGTGCCGGTGTAATGCATTGGTCAAAAAAAGTCAGCGTTAGTTTTTTTTCTGACACACCGGCCCATGAAACGTCATCATGTGCTTATATCTTTCAAGTATAGAAATTAGTACAAAACTAATTATGAAAGTTTACTTTATTTTTCAGTGCATTTGTTTTACAATATAGGCCTATGGCTATTACTATCATGGGATTAATATTATAACTATTATTATGTAGTAGGCTAGTGTAATGTAGACAGACACTAACTAAAAGAGGTTTGAATTTTTCTTTGTTTAATTTGCACCCTGAATAGAAACAGAGGTCCACCTACCACAGTTTTACCTAAAATCCTGTGAGAAACACTGGTATTGCTGTTCCAATTGAGCTTATAGTTTTTTTAGGGGGGTTCATCACGGTGGAGTAGCTATAGTTTAATTGTATTAATAAATGACAATTTTGCACTTTTATCTGTTAGCTCTCACTCGTTCCTACTCACTTATTACATGGCACACTTATTTATTTTTCTTTGTTTGAGGGGGGGCGCGAAAATTGTTGCTGCATACCCCTCTGACACTGGGTAGTTGCGCCCCTGCCTGGGTGTCATGTAAAGAGCACATTCAGGACTTTTCAGAGATACCAAATGTTTGGAGGTTTCACCATGAAAACAACTTCTCCTTGGTCTTTAAAAATGTCTGAGATTAATTTAGTGATCAAATGTAGCATTCTTATGGAAATATGATAATATAGTGTAATTATAATATAAATTGGACTACTTTTCAAATTGTATTTCATAAAACAACATCTCAGGAAAATGTTACGGGGTTTCAAATAATAAAAAAACTTTCTGTTACAGAACAGGGCATTGATTTCAAACGTGTCCACTGTAGAGGACAACAGGACTAAAATCATGTTTATCAGGCATTCTGGGAGACACAACAAGTGAATATGGAAATAAATTATACATCAATATTCCTATGAAATGTTAGATATTATTATTAAAATGTTGCCAATTATTACTCCAATTATTACCCTTATTCTTTCATTAAATGTTGCTCCAAGAACACATCAATGTGCAAATTAGATACAGTGTATAGATACATTGCATTGAATGGGAATATTAACTTTTTTACCCACATATTGCAAAAAGTAAAATGGTGTATCAATTCATTCCATTATTTCTTTCATAACATAGTTGAGAATAATCTTTATACAAATTTTGGTTGAAAAAAATCCTGAAACCCCAAAATGTATTGGTGATTGAAAAAAAAATCCCATTGTTTTTGCCTATACATATAATTTCATGTCATTTTATTTTTTAAACAACTTAGTCCTGGCGTCCACTACAGAGGACATAGCATAACGTATGAATAAAATATTATTTTATATATATGTTTTTTTACCATTTGTTTATTGTGCTCTAAACAGTGTGATGACATGGAAAAAAACTAAATTCAAAAAACTTTTTTTTTCTGGGTCTCAGGAGGATATAGTCAAGTCACCTTTATTTATATAGCGCTTTTTACAATACAGATTATATCAAAGCAGCTTCACAGTGATAACATGAAAAAAATACAACAAAGTTTATTTCTAGAAGAAAATTGCATCAAAGTCCACCTTAAGTAAGGCAGATCAATAATATTGTTGAATATTAAATGTCCCCAACTAAGCAAGCCAAAAGCCAAGGCAACAGTGGCAAGGAACCAAAACTCCGTCAGGTGACAGAATGGAGAAAAAAACCTTGGGAGAACCCACGCTCAGTCGGGGGCCAGTTCTCCTCTGGCCAATGAAGGAACGGTGTATGATTCGGGCAGCATTACAAGTCAGATTGGATCGGAACATTTAGAGTATTTATCCATTTCCATCTGGTTGGAAGTCGAAGTAATCACGCCGGTATGGAGACGAGTTGTTGAGGATCAGTGTCGATGGCTGTCGTGTCGCTTCACAGGGCTGATGAGGCTGGCACTTCAGGATGAGTTGGGATGGGTCCAGGCGCAGGTCCACCATAGTCGGTCCCTCGGGATAAACAGAGAGACTAATATTAGCGTAGACGGCATCCTTCTTATGATGTACCAAGTACATCAGGATTTACGGGACGTGTTCCCACATACTAAACAAATAATACTAAACAAACACTGTTGTGCAAAGGTACTAGTGCAATGATTTCTAATTTCTTTTTTTATAGGTTTAAGTTAATTTAAATCTCTCAAAGTAATCAGTTTTATGCACATTTATACACTATTTGAGGAGTTAACACTAACTTTGTGGAGGGTGGAGTTTTGCGCCGTAATCATATTTCAGTAGCCCACAGTTACTATAGTAACACTGGTGACAGACATGAGTCACGTCTAGAAGTGTCTAGTGTATGACTCTATGGGAGAATATAGCTGCCGAGTCTTGCTGATATGAGGCAGTGGAAATAAAAGGCTGTGTTAATTGAATGGCTGCATGTGTGCGTTTCATTACTCCCAGAACTTGAGTGAGTAATCAGACTTCAGTCTGCTAATCTGAATGTAGCATGTGATCCTGTTAAATGTCTAAAAATGGAAGAGCATTCTCTGGAGTGTTATGCTGTCTCGGTCTCTCTAGAGCCACCGGTGGGCTGGTCTAGTCAGTGCTTGTGGATCTGTATGCTTGCAAACATTGAATGCAGAAGGCTGTGCTGCGCATATGCAAATGAGAAGTTACGCCCTATAAGACAGGAATTCTGTGTTGTTCACAACATGGGCTGGTTTTCTGTACAGGGGTTTGGTGTTCTCCTGAATTGAGGTGATGTATTTAAAGGAAAAGTGCTCATTTCTGCACCACTAACAACACCAGATGGAATTGCAAAAAGTAATTTGATCCCCAAACAGCTTTTCAACACTACTCCTCCACCCCATCATCTCCTTCAATTTTCCTTGTTTTGAATATGCAGATAGTCCCGCCCCAAACTCATGGCATGGATTGAGGCAGAAGTTATCAGACGGACCACAAAAAAAAAAAAAAAAAATCAAGTATAATTTCTAAAAAAAAAACAGTGCAACCAGTGTAGTCTGATTCACAAGCAAATGACTCTTGTGAACATGTTGTTGTAATGAATGCTTCTAAAAGATTCACAAACTTCAGTAGTTTACATTTGAATCAGTCGGATCAATCGTTCACTGAATGAACTAACTGAATCACTCAGAGCAGTTACTGAATCAACATTTGACTCGTGGCTCAATACTTTTAGTGATGTCTGTCTCAAAATGAAGCAAGTTGTTTTATAATAGTCATGAGTCATGACACAATGTCTGATTCAACTCTGTGTATATTGAGTTTCCAACAATGCATTTCCTGATCTATATATATGTCTGTCTAAAATGGCTTGGAGCTCTACAGCTTGTCCCTGACATACAGTATAGGTCAGATCGCTGCCAAACCCTTGCCAGTGTTCAGTGTGCCAACTGTGCACAAGGGCATCCTCCATCCCCACAGATACACATAGACTAAAGGTTAGCTAAATGCTGAGAGCTACTCTGACTTTAAGATAATAGTTCTGGTTCTGTAATGGATGTTGATTTAATGCTAATTTTGAAGGGAATGAACGGTTATAATTCTTTTTATGCTCTAGTCAAAGTGATTTGAACCTTCAAAGTGAAACTCTATCCTCTGTCTAGTATTAAGTTGTGCCGCCTTTTCTCTCTGTGTGTGTGTTTAAACTAGACAGTGTTTCATTAATGCGCAGTTTGGATAGTGCTGAAAGCGTAAAGACAGCTGACTGGGAGTTCAGGTGCTAACAGTAAAGTGTGTGTGAGAGAGGGAGAGAGGATGGACCGAATCCAGATACCTTTCTAATAACACACACAATGTCAAACAGGAAAATGAGTTCATTTTACATATTCTATGTGTATTAGAGGGCCAAAACTATTACAAAGTGTAAGTATGTAATTGGTTAAAATGTTCATCCTGCTTTAATGATTAATGTGAGCATGTGTATTGGTGGTAAAATAATAGTACAGATGGATATGGACAGTGATTTTGCACTCTACATAAAAAAGAGACTTTTACATAGTTACAAATAATTTCTATTTCAAATAAATGCTGTTCTTTTGAACTTTCTATTCCACAGTTTCCACACAAATATTATGATAAATATGTAATAAATGTCAGCATAAAATCAGCATATTAGAATGATTTCTAAAAGATCATATGACACTGAAGAGTGAAGACTGGAATAATTATGCTGAAAATTCAGCTTTGCCATCACGGGAATAAATTACATTTTAAAACCTATTAAAATAGAAAACAGTTATTTAAAATTGTAATAATATTTCGTAATATAACTTTTATAATATTATAATATATGATTTTTTTATAATCGCATACATGCAGTCTAGGTGAGCAGGTATCGACTCCAAACTTTTGAACGTTGGTGTATATTTATTTAAATTTTTGTATTTAGTGAGGGAATACTTTGCTGACAATCAGTACATTCTGGGGGAAAAATGTAAGTAAATGAGTTGGCATTAATCAACAATGAACATGTTTTACAATATTTGCATTTACATCTTTTTTGAGATTCAGAATGTTGATGAAAGTCCTAAAATCAGCATCATTCAAAAATGCACATGTTCTCCATCCCTCTCATCTCCTTCCATCTCTCCTCAGGTGCAGAGTCTTTGTAATACTTGAGCTGGCAGGATGGTGGCGCTGTCTTTGAAGATCTGTGTGAGACAGTGTAATGTGGTGAAGACGATGCAGTTTGAGCCATCAACGGCAGTGTATGATGCATGCCGGGTCATCCGAGAGAGGGTTCAGGAAGCCCAAACAGGACAGGGTGGGACATGCTTTCTTTGTTCCTTGTATAGTGAGATTATCTAGTTGCTATTGTTGTATCATTTTTTCAAATGCAAGCTCTAATACAGTGCCTGTTGTTCCTCACTCAGCTTCAGAATATGGGCTGTTTCTGTCAGATGAAGACCCCAGGAAAGGCATCTGGCTGGAAGGGGGCCGGACGCTGGATTATTACATGCTGAGAAATGGGGTAAGTTCTTTGATCTTCTGTCTCTCTCTCTCTCTATTTTACAAGCTGTTGTCAAATGATCTGTGACATGTCTTTGGACTCTCGTCTTGTTTTTGTTTGTGTCTTCGCAACACATTTTGAGTGTGTGTGTTGAAAGATGAGAAGAGGTCTTAACTCTGCTCTTAGTTATTTTTATAGTCTCTGAATGTGTGAGAGAGAAAAGGCTCCCCTTAGTGTCTACACTTACTGAAACAAGCTACAGTTTTGTGATTTAAGGACATCGGTCACTGCAGCATGTGGTTTTTGTTTGTATTTGTTTACGCTTGTAAGTCTCTGTGATTGTGTGAAGAAGTGTTGCATAGACCGACAAAAGCGAATGCTTGTTTCCCCAGGAAGAAATAAAAATGTGTGTGCGGTGTAAATTGAGAAGTGTTAAAAGATGATTTCATCAGTAGTGGTTCATCTTTTGTCAGAAGTTGACATCAAAAGACCTCTTCTTCTCCCTCATACATGCACACACAGATGTTCAGCTCTCACAACCACGTCTTGCTTGTCCAATTTTTTGTATTTTGCACATATTTTCCTTTTCCTCTTGTTTTTCTTGCAAACTCATTCACATTCATTACAGTGTTTGCAAGGCAGCACCTAATTTACATTCCTCAAACATTCTGGTTAGGGTTTGTTCTTTTTGCAATTCTGCAAATTCAACACGAACTGCTTCGGATACTTTGTTTTGTAGATAATCTCAGTTTTAGGTTAAAGATCATTAAAAATGTAACCAGCATCAGTGATGTTATCAGAATATTAACATACTGAATTGTCATTGATCTTTTTTTCTTGCATCTATTTTGCTTACTCTTTTTTTTTTTTTATTGTCTTCCTTGCATATATTTAACCATTTATAGTAATTGTTTTGCCTTTAGGCTGCACAAATTTGATTCTTGTGTGCTGCTGGCTTAAAACAAGACGTGTGGTGAATTTCATGCAAACAGCAAAACAACTCTGATGCAGAATTTCGTTCAGAATCAAAACATCTTTCCTTAAACTTTAAAAGTATTTGTTTACTGAGCTCGGGAAATCTAGTTTCTCTCTCTCTCGGTCTCTTAGGACATACTGGAGTATAAGAAAAAACAGAGACCTCAGAAGATAAAAATGCTGGATGGCGCTGTGAAGACCATCATGGTGGATGATTCCAAAACTGTAGGAGAGCTGCTTGTCACCATCTGCAGTAGAATAGGTCAGTGATGCTCTTATACAGGTTACTATCTGATATAACTATCATATACAGTTATTTTCTTATATGGGTTATTTTGAGGGGGAACTTGTGACACAACTGAAGGGGAGGGGTTAACTTGGTAGTAAATGATTAAAAAAAATGTGTTAGTACTGGTTTAGTTTTTATTTAAAGTTCAAGGCAACCTGTGTTTAAACAGTGATTTGCACACAGATTCAACTCCATTGGACTGACCAAATATATACATGTTAATGCATGATCTGCCATAGCTTTTAAGACAAATGCTTTATACATTACTGTTAAAAAAATTAATACTTTTTTTTTTTTTTAAGTGAGAGTGATCACATTTGTAATGTTACCTTCAAATTAATAAATTTTTTGAACTCATCAAAGCATGCTGAAAAAAAAACCAGTTTCCACAAAAATAATAAACAACTGTTCTCAACGTTTATAATCAGAAATGTTTCTTGAGCAGCAAATCGGCATATTTGAATGATTTCTGAAGGATCATGTGACACTGAAGACTGGAGTAATGATGCTGAAAATTCAACTTTGTCATCATAGGATTAAATGACATTTTAAAATATTCTCCGAGAGAAAACAGTTATTTTAAATTGTAATATTATTTCACAATATTACTATTTTTACTGTATTACTGATCAAATAAATGCTGCCTTGGTGAGTGTAAGAGACACTAAAAATTTCGCAAACACTTTTATTCTTTCTCAAACACTAAAAATTTATACCATCCCCAAACTTCAGTAAAACAAATCAGTAATTTGTCTATGTATACTTCTGCCATTATATACACAACACATGCCATAACAAGTCTATAACTATGTCTCATTTCTCCTTCCAGGAATCACAAACTATGAAGAGTACTCTCTAATCCAGGAGGTGGTAGAGGAGAAGAAAGATGAAGGGACGGGCACACTGAAGAAAGACAGGACTTTACTGAGGGAGGAGAGGAAGATGGAGAAGCTCAAAGCTAAACTGCACACAGATGATGACTGTAGGTAACACATCATCACCCATCATATGCAGATAGACATACTGAACTGCTAAATGGGCCACAATAAGTCAATAAAGTTTAGGTTTAGAATTTTTTCAGGGTTTATCTTTGCTTCCCTTTAGTCTCTTATTATATTTTATTATTCTTTTTATGTCTAAGTATTCTCTTATAAAAAAAATTTGTATATCCCTCTATATGTACACTACTGTTCAAAAGTTTGGGGTCAGTAAGATTTTTTTTTTATTTAAATTTTTATATATATATTTATTTTATAAATATATAAATTAATACTTGTATTCAGCAAGGATGGCTGAAATTGATCAAAAGAGACTGTAATATACTGTAATATTTCAAAAGATTTCTATTTCAAATAAATGCAGTACTTTTAAACTTTCTATTCATCAAAGAATCCTGAAAAAAAAAAATATCATGGTTTCCTCAAAAATATTAAGCAGCGCAACTATTTTCCACATTGATGATAATCAGAAATGTTTCTTGAGCACCCAGTCAGCATATTAGAATGATTTCTGAAGGATCATGACTCTGAAGACTGGAGTGATGGTAAATTAAAAATCTAGCTTTGCCATCACAGGAATAAATTACATTTTAAAATATATTAAATTAAAAAAGAGTGATCTTAAATTGTAATAATACCTCACAATATTACTGATCCAAAAAATGCAGCCTTGGTGAGCATGATCCCAAACCTTTGAACTGTAGTGGATCTTCTGAGAATAACTCTGTAAAAACAGTTTGATATATGAAAAAATATATAAAATATTTTATTTCTGTTTCTCTCACAGTGAATTGGTTGGATCATGGGCGAACGTTTAGAGAACAGGGAGTCGAGGAGAGTGAAACGCTACTGTTGAGACGAAAGTTCTTCTACTCCGATCAAAACGTGGACTCGCGAGATCCTGTGCAGCTCAATCTGCTCTATGTACAGGTTAGACACGACTCTTCTCTCTTACTGTATTTTATAATGATATGAGGTGAAAGCCATGATCGGTATCCAACAGCCTCATGTTGACCTAAATGATCTGACTCCACGGTTCTCTACTTGTCCGTTCAATATAATGTATATAGATTGAAATGCTGTAAATCTCTTATCGACATATGACCCTAAAAGCCTCTGAGTGCTGCACTACATGCTGTTATACACATTGTATCGATCTGTAAAGTAGTGCAGTCCCTATTACCTTTTTATAAGCTCTCCTTCTGTCAGGGACTCAGTTGCTGATCTGGATCATTTCTACTGTGTGATTTCTAAAGGCTTTGATAACAAATGTGTCATCCTGCATGTGTTTCTCCAGGCGCGTGACGACATCCTGAATGGTTCTCATCCCGTGTCGTTTGACAAGGCTTGTGAATTTGGTGGAATTCAAACACAGATCCAGTTCGGGCCTCATATAGAACATAAACATAAGTCTGGATTTCTGGAGTAAGACCAAGTCCCAGTACTTTCAGTTATAGCACACAGTATTTACTGCCCCTCTGCTTCATAATCAAGGGTGCTGCATTATTAAAAGCCATGAAATGATGTGTAAAATCTAGATATTGTAATGACCATATGGTCCATTCAGGTAATGAGCTTAACCAACTCGAATGAAAAGTGCTTAAATGCATTTAAATATTTTATGCGTATCATATAACTAATGCCAGTTTGCAGTTTAATGTATTGTTGCTTATCTTCTCACTTTGAATGTGAATTTCATTTCGTTCAGCTTGAAGGAGTTTCTGCCTAAGGAATACATCAAACAGAGAGGAGCAGAGAAGAAGATCTTTCAGGTGGGCCAGTTTATCCTGCACTTGGTTATACACTTGACTGTTTATCTTGAACTTCACTATTTGTAAGCAGAGATGAATGAGATAAATGAATGAATTAGGTGAATAAACGCTTCGTGGATTTAACAGGAACATAAGGCTTGTGGAGAAATGACAGAGATCGAAGCCAAAGTGAAATATGTGAAGCTTGCGAGATCACTCAGAACATATGGAGTGTCTTTCTTCTTGGTGAAGGTAAAATGCATGTGTGTTTGTGTTGTACTTGGTTATTTAAGCTATGTTTGTTACAATGGAATGTCCAGCCTTCCCAGATGATGATGATGATGATTATGATAATAATAATAATAATAGCTTAAATCTTATTTATAATGGGTTGTTTTGTGTTGTGTGTTTTTATGTGTTGTGTATGTACAACCAAAAATTGACTCTGCTTTAAATTTCCATGTGCAAGAAGGTTATTGATTAGAATAGTTGGTCGCACCTGTGATGGGCAATCAAATTTCTTGGCCAGGGCCACCCATATGGACACCTATTGTATTGAGGGTATGCATTGATGTCACTTTCCTGCCGGAACGTGCCCCCCTCAGGCTGAGTGAGTGGCAAAAGAGGCTGCGTGACTGGATTTAATAGGGGAAACTGCAAAAACGCGAGTAAAACAAACGATTATCAGTACATTATCCCGCTTATTGCACGGCTACTTGCCACATAAGTAAATAATTACAGACACGACATATTGATCGGAGTTGAAATATTTTATTAAGTTTTTAAACGCAAAGCTTCCGTGGAGAGAGCAGTTGCTAGCGCGGCAAGTTCAAACTAGACGGACATTTAAGAGATACGGTATAACGTTACAGTCATTCCTCTTATTACACAGCATTTCGCCACATGAATAATTATGGAGATAAGAGATATTGATTTCAGATTAAACTGTTTTAAAATCTTACCTGTTTGTATCTTATAATCAAACAGTGTACAAAACAATAGTCACAAAATGGCAGCAGCTGCGTTTGTATGAAACAATAGCGAGCGAGTCCATGATACTGGATGGCATAATTAAACAAAATATTGATTCGACTGAGTTTTAATATTTTATTAGCTCACCAAATGTAAAACTTCCACGAAGAAAAAACGTTCCTAGCAAGCGTATAGTGCTGCTGACTTCAGTAACCCGGATGAGCCCGAGTTATCTGTTTTCTGCGATTGTTATCTGGGAGTAACATACCGCTGCATGGCGCGATTGACCAATCAGAATCAACTATTCCACAGAGCCGTGTAATAAATATCATCATATCGTCCAGCCTTAACTTAAAACTAGGTTTTTTTTTGTCAGTGTTTGTTTAAAAACGTCAGATTTCTTGTCAAATCTAGTTGTACAGGCAATCGTATAGCTCTTTCCCGTTTTAGATTTGTTTTGTGTGTTTTTCGCGGCATTCATTTTTCTTTTTTTTTTCTTTTTTTTTCTTTATTTAGCACAACCACAAAACAAATAGATATTAAAACAATACATATGGATTATACAGGAGAGGTAAGAAACCCCCAAGGGCTTATAGTAAAACCTCCCCTCTGAATTTTCAATTAATACTACACCAAATTATTATAATAAATAACAACAATCATCACAATAATGACAGACAATGAAAGACAACACATATACAGAAATTTTAACAATCACACAAGTGTTTTTTCATGCTTGACTTAAATACTGACAATGATGAGCTAGTTTTAATAAAACGAGGAATAGTATTCCAAAGTGACGGTCCATCTATTTTAAAGGTGCTCTAAGCGATGTCACGCGTTTTTTAGGCCAAAACATTTTTTGTCACATACAGCAAACATCTCCTCACTATCCGCTGGCTGCCTGTCCCCTGAACACACTGTAAAGAAACGCGATCTCTGTAGACACCCCAGGCTCCACACACAGCAACAAAAACAAACTGCGGCGACCCGCTCCCCGAAACATAACAAACTGTTCCAGCCAATGACCGACAAGAAGGGTTTGGGGGTGTGTTTTGGGGGGTTAGTGTGCAGATGAGGAGGAGGGAGGGTCTAGCTAGCCTCCGTTTTGTTTGACAATAGTTCGAACGTCAACAAGAAGTGACGTCACCCAGGATCGCTTAGAGCACCTTTAAGGAAAATTAACCAAGAGTTGTATGACAATAGGGAAGATGAACATTCATTGCTTGTCGGGTTGGATATGAATGGACATCCGAGTTAATTAAAAAATAGTTATTAAACACTTTTGGGAGGCTATGATTTTGAACCATATATTTGTACATAAAGGTACATGTTTGATAGATATTTATGCTGAAAATAGATAAAATATTTAATTGCTTAAACAGAGGAGCCGATGGTTCACACCAACTAGATGTTGTTGCCAATCTAACAAACTTTTTTTTTATCAAAATGATTTTTTGAAGAGAAGAAGGATAATTACTGGCCCAAACAATGTTACAGTAAGAGATGTAAGGATATAATAGACTATAATAAAGAGTTAAAAGACAGGATTGATTTACCAATGAACAAACGTTTCTAATGATGCCAAGTGACTTCATGATTTTTACACACACATAATCAATATGGTTTTTCTGAGAGTTTTTCATCTACTAATACCCCTAAAATTGTATTACTGTAACTTGATTGATTTCAATGTTGTTAATAAATAATTTAGCATCTTCTTTTAAATACCTTTTATTTTTATTCCTGAAAACTATATAATTTGATTTTTCTATATTTAATGAAAGTTTGTTCATCTGAAACCACTTTGCAATATATAGTAGAACATCATTAGCTTCATTCATCAAAGAATCTAAGTTTGCATGTGATATGACAACAGTAGTATCATCTGCGAATAGAATGGGCAATGCAGATTCAAACATCCAAGCTAGGTCATTTATATAAATGAGAAACAGGAGTGGCCCAAGAATAGATCCCTGAGGTACACCACAACATAACTTAATTCTCTTGGAAGTACTGCCATTTATAAATACATATTGCTCTCTATTAATCAAGTAATCTATAAGCCAATTGATTACAACATCCTGAAACCCATAACGGTAAAGTTTGGAAATCAGAATTTCATAATCGACTGTATCGAAAGCCTTTGATAAATCTAAAAATATACCAACTGCAAACATGTTGTTATCCAGTGCTGTAGAAATCTTGTCCATGAGTTGTAACAAAGCCATATATCTTGAGTGTTGTTGTCGAAATCCATATTGATGTTTATATAGGATCTTGTTGTCATTAAGATGTTTTAACATTCTTACATATACCGGCTTTTTCAAAACTTTAGAGAAACAAGGTAAAATAGAGATCGGTCTATAATTATTGAATAGGCTAGGATCCCCTGCCTTGAATAAAGGTATAACCTTTCCAATCTTCAGATCTTTTGGGACTACCCCACTTTTTAAAGAAAGCATAAGGACATGAGTTAATGGCTCACTAATTGTTAATGCCACTTTTGTTTAAAAGCTTTGCTTTAATTTCATCATGACCTGCTGCGGTGTCATTCAGGTTATTTATAATGCCAAGCACTTCTCTGGATGTCGGAGGATCAAAATTACCCATTACGGGAAAGCAACCAATTTTTTCAGCAAGATGTCTACTAACATTGGCAAAGAAATCATTAAATCCATTTGCTATATCAGAATGATTGATGAAAGAAATACCATCTTTAGTAAAATTAGTTGGAATTTTAACAGAACCTTTTTTTTTGTTAAGTAATTCATTAATGATATTCCATGTGGATTTTATATTGCTAGCAGACTCTTTAAGTTGATATGAATAATAATTTTTCTTTGCTATATGAAGTAGGTGAATAAATTTATTTTTATATTGTTTGAATGTATCACAATTATATGGATTTGGATTTTGAAGAAATTTTCTATATAATTTGTTTTTCTTTATTGAGGACTTCAATAATCCTGAAGAGAACCATGGTTTAGTTTTGTTTGACTTGCCTTTATACTTAACTAGCGGAAAACACTCATGAAATATAGAATTAAATGTTTGAAAAAATAACTGGTAAGCCAATTCGGCATCATGTTGAATATAAATATTATCCCATGTGATGTGCTCAATCATGGATTTAAAACGATCTATATTTACTTCACTAAACTTTCGATAGCTTGGTTTATCTGCAGTCATTCTTGAGCTACCACTAATTCCTGAATTCAAGTTAAATATGGGGAAGTGGTCTGAAATGTCCTTGCACAAAATTCCTGAATTGGATTCATAATCAAAAGAATTTGTTAAAATATTATCAATCAGGGTGGCAGTTTTGTTTGTCACCCTGGTTGGTTTACATATAAGAGGATGAAAATAGGATGAAAACAATACATTTAAAAAATCAGCTGTTGGAGCATGGCTTCCACTTTGAAAAAGATTGTTGAAATCACCAAGTAGAAAACACAGTTTGCCTTCATCATTAATAACATCCAAAGCAGCAGAAAGTGCATCATTGAAACAGTTAATATTACTGTCAGGTGGGCGGTAAATACATCCAATAATAACATTTCTTCCGCCAAACTGAGAGCAAGAGAGTATTTCCAAGAACAAAGATTCAACATTACTTTCGTCAGAGTTTAGCTTAAGATCCTTCCTTAATATGAACTGAAAATCATTGTGCACAAAAATAGCAACTCCACCTCCCATCTTATCCTTTCTACATGAATGAACAGAATTATATTGAGACATGTTGTAGAAATTTATTGTATCATCCTTGACCCATGTTTCTGATAAAGCAATAACAGAAAATGTGTGATTTATGACAGACATAAAATGAGTTAATTGATCGTTATTTTTAGGTAAACTACGTATGTTAAGGTGAAATGTAGAAAAAATGTCAGACTTACTTGTGAAATTGCCAGATAAACTGCTGAACTCATTTTCACTATAATAATTACAGGGACGAGATTTATTGTGTGCATAATTTAAGTAAAAATTCGTATCTGGGTCACATGAATCAATATTATCCATGTACTTAAATTCATTTAGCTGGTATGGATTAAAAACCCGATCAGAACAATTACATTCAACATCTATATTATGGAAGTAATATAGATGTTGAATGTAATTGTTCTGATCGGGTTTTTAATCCATACCAGCTAAATGAATGTTTATGTCCTTTTATGTTTTCTTCAGAGTTTTTCATTGTTATTGACAATGGGTGCCCAAGTAGTCAACATTAGATTATTGACTGACTTCTTTAGTCTTTTCAGTCCGTCCTCTGGCGTTGGGAGGCAGGCTGAATGATAAGTTTGTCGTATCGTAAGAATGCTATCTCCCCTCGCTCTCTTGCGGCCTCATAGCTGGGATGAGTTCTTTGCGTTTTTTTCCGAACGGCATCCGAATAATCCTCGTTAATGTACACATTCGTTCCTTTTAGATCTTTTGCTTTCTCCATAACCATAACTTTATCTTTAAATCTAAGGAACTTTGCGACGATCGGCCTGGCTCTCTCTCCCGCTGATCGCCCGGTCCGATGCACCCGTTCCATCTCAATCCCCGTGATATTGAGCTTCTCAGAGAGTAGCTTCCGTACCTTGGCTTCTGAGTCAGCCCAGCTCTCGTAACCAGACTCTTGGATCCCGTCAATCACTATGTTGTTTCGTCGGGACTGACCTTCCAAGTCCATCCTGGGCAAAACTGAATTGATATTTTCACGAATCATTGATATATCTGAAACAAGATCTGAGAGCTTCGTGGAGGATTGCTTATCTTTGGCGATTAGCTCATCCACATAGCTTTTGCGTGTAGTGGAGGCTTTCACGCAATCCACTTATTTCCCTTTTGTTATGTCCCTCGATCATTATTGTCAGAAAGTTCTTGTAGCTTCGCTCCTGCTGCTCCAGCAGCTCTCTATAAAACATTTTCTGCTGTTCCATCAGCTCACGCACCTGGGTTAGAGACACATAATCGTCATCTCCGCTTCTCCCTTTCGGCGGCATGACAGCAAGTTTTAGTTATTAAAAGTAACTTTGTGCTGATTTCCCGCTGTGAGGCTGCAGTCAGATGGCTTGGATCCTGATCTGGTGTTTGGATCTTGCAGAAGCTTTGGAAGAAGTGTGAACCCTGCACCGCAGTCAGAGTCTGATGAAGGGAATGTTCACTCTGTGCTGTGACCATCAGAGCAATGAGACTGGATTCATTATATCTTCTGAATGTGTGTCACTCTCCGTCTTCCAGATGAGTTTGCTCGGATGTTGTATGAGTATGTCGCAACTGGCCTTAAACTGACCCGTCACCTGGTTAACACCATTTTCAAGATATTTGATGTGGATCACGATGATCAGCTCAGTTACAAAGAGTTCATTGGTATAATGAAGGACCGTCTGCACCGTGGAGGCAGGGTAAGAAAGAGGTGTAGGGGAAAAAGAGGTACATCATTCTGAAAACAAATGTTGCCGCTCGGTCTTTTTGCCACTTAGTGGGCGTAACCGCAGTCACTCCGGCCGACGGTCGAGTGCATACCCTCTATCATGCGTTTGCTTCCAATCATATTTCTGAATCAGCTCACATATCGTAAAGGTGTTTTTGAGATCAGCAGTCCTTAGTCACAATGTCAGTGTTCTTTCATACCCAAGTCCAGAAATTCTCTTCGATGTACATGTTGCCATCAATTGTTCTCATGAGAGCTTTCATCATCCGAGAGGAATTCCACCTCCAGAATTCTTCCATCTCTTCCACCCCCCATTCTTGGCTGGTGGTGGTCTGCATGACTCATGGACTGATTACAATTCAGCTCTGCTTGAGTTGTAAAGTTAAGGTGGAGCAGATGTGCTTGTGCCTGAAATAAAAATCTTAAGTGTCTGATTTTAGTTTTGTTCTGGCTTTTATTTATCTCTTATGACCAATATAATTATTGTCTGTATTCATAAACTCAAACTGTTTGCAGTTTGGCTATTTATTTATTTTTTGGCCTATAGTGGTAAATGCATCTTTGCAAAAAAGCTAAAGTGAGAAATATTGGCACAACTCGGAAACTTAGACAGGCAAGCAGAGCTCAGATCATCCATCTGCTGACAGCTCTGAGAGAGAGAGGGAAAGTACAGAAACAAAAGAAAGACAGTAAGCTTTTGAGAATCTGAGAGGATACTGGAAGAGTGTTATGTGGAATAAGTGTAAAAAAAAAAAACATTGTCAGCTGTTAAATACACCAGCAGGATTTTGGTAGATCATTTAAATTGTTCTGAACCTAAAACTTTTTATTTTATTTTGTGTTGATTTTTGTTTCTTAGGAAAAAATGAAAAGTAAAAATAAGCTGGTCCTAAGGCTGCTGGGTATAACCAAAGAATCAGTGATGCGAGTGGATGAGAAAACCAAAGATGTGGTTCAAGAGTGGCCACTTACTACAGTGAAGAGATGGGCCGCCTCACCTAAGAGCTTTACACTGGTACTTGTATAACAGACATTGACTTCTAGCTGGCTCAAGGGCTACTGGAAGTGCTTTTTTCTTATATTCACAACTGTTGAAAAGTTTGGGGTATGTAAGTTTTTTTTTTTTTTTTTTTTGCTCACATAGGCTGCATTTATTTGATGAAAACAGTAATATTGTGACATATTATTGTAACTTAAAATGTCTATTTCAAAATAATTGAAATGTAATTTATTCCTGTGATGGTAAAGCTGAATTTTTAGCATTATTCCTCATTATTCCTCATTATCTTCATTTAGCATTATTTTTAGCTGAATTTTTAGTGTCACATGATCCCTCTGAAATCGTTCTGATCTGGTGCTCAAAAAAACATTTCTTATTATTATCACAGTTGAAAACAGTTGTGCTGCCTGATATTTTTGTGGAAACCATGTTATGATTTGTTTCCAGGATTCTTTTATTGATTTAAGTTCAAAAGAACAGCATTTATGTAAAATATAATACTTTTGTAACATTATAAATGTCTTTTCTGTAACTTTTGATCAATTTAACATTGTCTTGCTGATTGAAAGTATTAATAATAATAATACTGACCCCAAAGTTTTGAACACACACACACACTTTATACCCATTATTTATTCTCATTCTCATTCAAATCTGACAGCCTGTGTTCTTCTCCATATGAAGGATTTCGGGGAGTATCAGGAGAGCTACTACTCTGTTCAGACCACAGAGGGGGAGCAGATATCGCAACTTATTGCTGGCTACATCGATATCATTCTCAAGAAGGCCTGTATTAACTCCTTTATCTGCCTTTCCTTCATGAAATAGTCAACAATCAGTTGTCCTGTGCTTTTCCTGATAGATATTCTCCTGGATTATGAAGGGTTTTTTGTATTACAGATTAACAGTGTTCAGATTACAGTTTACACAATGTTACAGTAAATACCAGATTAAACCTGAGTCTTATGTGTAAATGTGTTTGTTTTTGAATGTTTGGCCCTACAGAAACAAAGCAAGGACCGTTTTGGTTTAGAGGGAGATGAGGAGGCCACCATGTTGGAGGAATCAGTTAATCCGAAAAAGTAAGACATGTACACATTTTGAGTCCGCAGTGATAAGAACCATATTTCCTTTCAAGGTTTTGTAATTTTCTGCCAGTTGTCTTTGGAAATACTTTTGTAATCAGACCAGTGTAGCAATACAGGAAAATGACTGTGGAAAAACCTTATCTCAGTTTCTATTTATCTAGATTGAGCTGAGGTTACCTGTTCCACACACAGTAATATATTCAGCCTGTTTTTAAAGAGTGCCGGCGGAGTCTCCTCTTCTTGAATAACCCCTGTAGTACAAATACAAAATGAACTTTTGTACCTTTCTTTGTCATTTCATTTATCTTTTTTTCTCTCTCTATCTTTCACAGATCTACTATATTGCAGCAGCAGTTTAACCGTGCCGGACGGGTAGAGCATGGCTCAGTGGCATTGCCTGGGATCTTGAGGTCAGGTTCTGTCGGCCCAGAAGAGCTAAACATGGGTACCATGCCCTCTCCACAACAACAGATCACTACTGGACAGATGCATCTTGGGCATATGCCACCACTGGTGAGTCCACATATAATATAATATAATATATATATATATATATATATATATATATATATATATATATATACAAATGCTCACGTTCATAGAAGCTAATTTAATTGTCCATTATTTAACCTCATATTGGCTATAGACCACCTTGCTGTCTAGATATCAGCATCAGTCCCTTCATAACACATATTGGTTGATCATCAGTTTTTCAGCTGTCATAGTTTAGATATATTAGATGTAAAGTGCTCTGGGTGTACAGTAGTACATATGAAAGCGCTATATATAAATGCCTCATTCATTCATTCATTCATATTAGTGGATGAATGTGTAATTATTGCCATCCTTAATGTGGCAATCAGAGCGCAGCCCAACAGGCTCTTGTGGGAACCATTAGCACCAGTATGCAAGCGGTGCAACAGGCACAGGAGGACCTGGAGGAGGTGGAAGAGCTGCCACCACTTGGAGATGATATGGTAAGAAAATGCATGTGTGACACTTCACATTTACTCTCCTGTACCTATTACCAATATTTTATTTTTAAATTAAGAACTTTTTTTTTTTGGGGGGTTGATATAGTATAGTGAATGCACACAACTTGTATTTGTATTTATTTCAGGCTTCTAAAATGTGGATTCAGAACAAGGTGGATGAGTCCAAGCATGATATTCACTCTCAGGTGGACGCCATTGCAGCTGGAACTGCCTCTGTGGTTAATCTTACTGCTGGTAAAACCTTGGCTGTATTAAAACTGATTACATTAGTAAGATGTTTCACAACACTTACTATACAGCTGTATTGTAAATACAAATGAAAAACTTGACACACCCTTCAAAATGAAAAGCCTTACTCTTTTACATTTTTACATTTTGAATGTACATCTGCATCTTCCTATTCCATTTCCCAGGTGATCCGACGGACACAGATTATACAGCGGTTGGCTGTGCGATTACCACCATCTCCTCTAATCTGACGGAGATGTCCAAAGGTGTGAAGCTGCTGGCAGCTTTGATGGAGGATGAGGTGGGCAGTGGGCATGACCTCATGAGGGCTGCCAGGACCCTCACTGGAGCTGTATCTGACCTGCTCAAAGCTGTGGAGCCTGCATCAGGAGAGGTGCGAGCAAAGGATGTCCTACAGATAATCATATCTGTCATTTTGATGGATTGTGCTGTACATTTTCTGTACAGTTTTTGTTTTTCCAAACATAATATGCAGATGTATGCCATTTCTGTACGGTTTTGTCTTGAGATACACATACAAGAATGCATGTCAATTTGATACATTTGACCAATTCAACTGCCTATGCACGACCATAAAGATTTTGAGTGACATGACTATGTTTAATAGTGTGTGTGCATGTGTTTTCTCATGCAGCCACGACAGACGGTTCTGACTGCAGCCGGCAGCATCGGTCAAGCCAGTGGAGATCTGCTAAGACAAATTGGAGAGAATGAAACGGACGAGCGCTTCCAGGTACACAGATGTCTTATGAAATACATGATGTACATTTGTGTTTTTGAGTGTTGATCACCCTGTATGTGTGCGTGTGTTTCAGGATGTTCTGATGAACCTAGCTAAAGCTGTGGCTAATGCAGCAGCCATGATGGTTCTGAAGGCCAAGAACGTGGCACAGTTTTCTGAAGACAGCGTCCTGCAGAACAGGGTTATTGCAGCTGCGACCCAGTGTGCCCTCTCCACTTCACAACTAGTGGCCTGTGCCAAGGTGGAGTTCACCTACATGTGCTTCTAATCCAGATTGATTAAAAGAAATAAAACTGTGGATAACCCTTTTTTTGTTCATGTGTTTGTGTGTCAGGTTGTGAGCCCCACTATCAGCTCCCCTGTGTGTCAAGAGCAGCTGATTGAAGCAGGGAAGCTGGTGGATCGTTCAGTAGAAGGTTGTGTGAAGGCCTGCCTGTCAGCTACCAGTGATGGAGAGCTTCTCAAGGCCGTCAGCGCAGCAGCTGGTATCGTCACACAGGCTCTTAGTGACCTACTCACGCATGTGAGGAACTACGCCACTCGTGGGGAGCCCATCGGACGCTACGACCAGGCCACGGACACCATCATGACGGTTACAGAGAATATTTTCTGCTCCATGGGTGATGCTGGTAAAATAAATACATCATATACACCACCGTTCAAAAGTTTGGGGGTTGGCAAAGCTGAATTTTCCGCAGCCATTACTCCAGTCTTCAGTGTCACATGATCCTTAAAAAAAACCTTACTGACTTTTGAACAGTAGTCTACCTTGTATAATTTATTTGCTTAGTTTTTCTAGGCTGTGTAATAGTAAAGATTTACCAATCTGTTCCGTAGGTGAGATGGTCCGACAGGCACGGGTTCTTGCCCAGGCGACATCTGACCTGGTGAATGCCATGAGATCAGATGCTGAGGTGGAGGTGGATGTGAACAACTCCAAGAAGCTTCTTGCAGCTGCCAAACTGCTTGCAGATGCCACCGCTCGAATGGTCGAGGCTGCAAAGGTGGGTTTAGCAAACCTTGGCCCGCATTAGAAACATATGACTACATTTAAGTAAAATGTATTTTCTATTCTCCTATACCAGTGGTTCTCAACCCATTTCACTCGAAGAACGTATTCTGCTGGAATTGACAAAACTGCTTGCTTTAAACCTTTTTTTATGAGCAGAAATAGTAGTAGTACACATAAATTAATCTTTCATACATTTTTCACTCCAGATGTTTTAAGAACTGTATGTTTTTCAATAAAAACAATAGTTATTCAGGGACAATAAAAATAAATATGATTTAAGTTTACATCTTGATGTTTTTTTTGTTTTTTTTTTACATTTTAATTTAAATTAAAATGTAATTTAGTTAGTTTACTGTACACTAATGTTCAAAAGTTTTGAGTCGGTAAGATTTTTTTCTTTTAAAAATAAATGAATACTTATTTTCAGCAAGGATGCATTGAATTGATCAAGTGACAGTAAAGACATTTTATATTATTACAAAAAAAAAAAATGCTGTTCTTTTTTTAACTCTCTTTATCAAAGAATCCTGAAATATTTCTTAAGCAGTAAATCAGCATATTAGAATGATTTCTGAAGGATCATGTGACACTGAAGACTGGAGTAATGATGCGTAAAATTCAGCTTTGCATCACAGGAATAAATAGATTTTTAAATTGAAGTAATATTAGTGTTTTACTGTATTTTTAATCAAATAAATGTAGCCTTGGTGACCATAATAGACTTAAAAATTTAAAAAAAAATCTTACTGACCACAAACTTTTGAGCGTTAGCATATTAATAATTTATTAACTGAAATACTTGTAACGCATCCTGCTGCCCCCTTGGAAGTTTGCTGAGGCCCCCTAATTGGCCCCGCCCCCTTGCTTGAGGACCACTGTTTTATACTAAAATCATAGCTATCAAGAAAATCATACGAATTCTTAAGTATTTAATAAATTGGAGACATATTTTCTGCACTAATCTAGCATCCCTAGTTCTTTTTTGCATCTTCGGTTTAGCATCTCTCTGGTTAATAAAGCGGTAAACTAATAGATATCCAATAGACTTATTTACACGTCTGTGTGTGTGTGTTTAGGGAGCTGCTGCATACCCTGAGAATGAAGACCAGCAGCAGAAGCTGCGGGAGGCTGCGGAGGGGCTGCGTGTGGCCACCAACGCGGCTGCACAGAACGCCATCAAGAAAAAACTCATAACAAGACTGGAGGTCAGGCCATGCTTAAAAATATTCTTGTTTGCCGTAACCCGACCGACCCTGTCAAATTAGGACCGACCCAATTATTTATTTTTTTCCCCTTTTAGTCCGACCGACTTGCCGGTTGTAAACTTGCATTAAGACCGACCGATTTTTTTTTTACTCTTCAAACAACTAATACAAATGCAATAAAATAATATACATTTATTATAGTAAGTATTGTGAATATAAATTGCGTAGGCTACGTTCTTTCTTTTAAATAAAAACCCGTGGCGTCATCTATTATGATTATGTTTACACCATTGGTTTACGCATGTCACACTATGGCCTGTGCGTTCGCTTCGTTTCATTCACTGTCAATGGTTCGCGCTCGGTGATGATGGCTGCGGCGCGGCTGCTTGTGAAATACGTCTGTATGAGCCTACATTTAGTCGCTCATTATTCGAAATTCTTAATGGTCAAATAGGGAATCGATGTTAACGGCCTTTTCTCGGAGCCCGTCCAGCTCGTCATGACATGCCCACCGCGAACGCGCGTCACACAGCAACTGCAGGCTCTGACAAACAAACACACATAAGTGTGGGAAGCCAAACACACCGAAAGGGGGACGAAACGGCGCGGTGTGTTACAGAGTTCGCGCTGCGCTGACTTGTAATCTGCGTGGCTCAATGGACCGAGACGCGCGAGCGCGACAGACTCGACAGCGCAGGAGAAGTGTTTGCTTGCGCCAGCCAATGGTCAGAGCGGCGCGAATTAATCTCACCAGCGCCGCGCTGACCAATAAAACAGCACATCCCATACCGAAATGTACTAAATTGCACAAAAGAAAATCGACCATTCCATAATATGTCAGGACTACTTAATCGGCCTATAGTTTCCTACAATGCGCCTAGCTATTTGACCACACTGATTTCCGTTAATAATAGCAGATGTTTATGGGTCAAATCTCTCACTCTCTCCCTGCAACTTTTTGTTACCCTCCTTTCCTGCCCCTAGACCAGAAAGGGGGCTTGTAACAGTATGGGTCAAATGTAAACGAATGGTGCCAAACGCGCTGTTTTATTGGTCGGCGCGGCGCTGGTGAGATTAGTCATTTTAATTTATTTGTTTCCCTCTGAAAATCCACTTTCATTGAAATCTAGTGGCTCCTTTTTTTCTTTTGATTCTGCCTATTTTTTTCCAAATGAATGCAGCTGGAATTAATGCAATAAATATGTTTTTTTTTTTACAAAGATTTCAAATTGTTTGTGGTCTATAACCTGTATCAGAATGAGGTTCGCAATGGTGCGCCCGAAGGCATGGGGGTTGAAGACCCAGTCAGTGACGTCACGATATGCAAATTTGTTTGAATTCATACCGACCTAATCAACATGACCAAAATTATCCTTTTTTTTTTACATTGAATCTTGAAAAAAAAATATATAGACCTACCTACCGACCCTTTTTTTTTTTTTTTTTGCTGTTACTGCAAACCAAAATATTTTTAAGGATGGCCTCAGTGACTGATGGTTATGATTGAGAAAAATAATTCAATTTAGACAGGATCATATGTGATTTACGCAAGGGAGTGTTTGACATAAATCCAACCGTTTGAATGAAACCCTGAACTGTGTGTCTGTTTTCTATCTTTCCAGAATGCCGCTAAACAAGCTGCTGCCGCTGCCACTCAGACTATTGCGGCATCCCAGAATGCAGCAGCCTCTAACAAGAATACTGCTGCCCACCAACAACTTGTTCAGAGCTGCAGGGTTTGTAGAAGTTTTGTTTGTGAATTTCTAAAGTGTTATTAATGTATTCCTAATGTTTATACCACTGTATTCTCTATATGTCAACGTGTGTTAGGCTGTAGCTGACCATATTCCCCAGCTGGTGCAGGGAGTGAGGGGCAGTCAGGGTCAGCCAGAGGATGGTAGTGCCCAGCTTGCCCTCATCATTGCCAGCCAGAACTTCCTTCAAGTAACCATCTACCCTTTCACTGATATTAATCACCTTACACTCATCAGATAACATCACTCTACTGTAAAAGTGCTCTTTTAAAAAGCTTCTCCTTCAATACTAAAATGTCTTATTCCATGTCTTTGTTTTCCAGCCTGGAAGTAAGATGGTTTCTTCAGCGAAGTCGTCTGTGCCAACTGTTTCGGATCAGGCGGCAGCCATGCAGCTTGGGCAGTGTGCAAAGAATCTGGCCACCAGCCTGGCTGAACTCCGCACTGCTGCACAGACGGTACTTAATCTGTCTTTTCCACACATGTATTTAATGAGTAAAATGCCGCATTCTGTTTACCTTGAAAGTCGGATCTGGAAATGACGTCACACGCGAGTTAACCGCGTTCCATTCGCTTGCTCTTTTGGAGTACATACACATAAATAAGCGGTATTTTGCACAGATAATGCCGCATGTAGTGTGTGTGAATGTGTCGTGACAGGAAAGTCATCCAGTGTTAAACCTGTGCCAAATCAAATGTGTGTTTGTGAAGCGGAACCTGCAAATGAGCGGGAATAACGCTAGGAAGATGGATGGATGCCGGAATGCGGCACAATGCGGCACATTTGAGACAAACAGAAGTCCTAATAAACAATATATTACTGTTGTTTCACCAATCTGTTGAAGCGCTGAGTGAGCAGCCATATTGGATTCTGAAGTCAGGGTTGTTTGTGGTTCCTCTGAGCTTCCAAATCGGAACCCCAACTTGGGGAGCCATTCCAGTTAAAGATTTCTACTGGGATCTCGGAATTTCTGACTTCCAAGTACAAAAGGAATGCACCATAAGGGATATGCAAATGAAAATTCTCGTTCCAAACCTTAATGACTGACTGACTTCTGTGGAACATAAAAAAATATATTTTGAAGAATGTTGGTAACTGAACCAAAATTCTTACAAATATCTCCTTTTTAGTTCTGCAGAAGAAAGAAATAAGTAAGTGTTTGGAATGATATCAGAGTGAGTAAATGATGACAGAATTTTGATTTTTTGGTGAGCTATCCATTAATGAAATCCTGTCATGTGATATCTAGGCTCATGAAGCGTGCGGCCCCATGGAGATAGACTCTGCCCTTATAGCGGTGCAGACGCTTAAGAATGAACTCCAGGATGCAAAAATGGCAGCTTCTGAAGGACAGCTGAAACCATTACCTGGAGAATCAGTGAGTTGATCAGTGATACTATGATTCTTTTGCATAACCTCTGAACACTATCTTCTCAGCACAGACATATTGTTTGATTGTGTGAATTATCCATCCATTTTGGGATGCAATTTGTTTGTTTTAGTTGGAAAAGTGTACTCAGGATCTGGGTGGTACATCTAAGGCCGTTGGTTCATCGATGGCCCAACTGCTTACCTGTGCAGCACAGGGAAATGAACATTACACAGGTAATACACTCACTAGCATAGGAAACACATTTATTTGGCTAAATGGAGACTTACCTTAGAGCTCTGTTGTTTTAAGTTACTAATCCTAACCTTAACCCTATAGTAAGTACATGTAGTTAATTAATAATACTCTGTACTTTATTTGGGTAATTACACTGTAACAACGTCACCTTAAAATAGTGTATACCTTATATATTTTTTTATATTTGAGGAGGTTTTGTAAAATTAAGATAGCTTACAGGGGCTGTTTTTTCTAAGTGAGCTCAAAAAACATACATTCTTGCACATGTACACACACACACACACACACACACACACACACACACACACACACACACACACACACACACACACACACACACACACACACACACACACACACCTCCACTCCCAAACACATGAATTGTATGTGTTCACAGGTGTTGCTGCTAGCGAAACTGCCCAGGCTCTCAAGACATTAGCACAGGCTGCGAGGGGTGTTGCTGCCACCACATCAGACCCTGCTGGAGCCATAGCCATGTTGGATTCTGCTTGGGAAGTTATGGAAGGGTCGGCTAAATTGATTTCTGAAGCCAAGGAGGCGCTGGTTGCTCCTGGTGATGCAGAGATACAACAGAGGCTGGCACAGGTGAGGGAGGAAGAGATGTAAATGTAATGTGAATAATACAAAAAGAAGACATTTATCATTTATCAGATATCTGTTCTTGCTAAATAAGTGTTACTTTTCTTTCCCAAAAAATAATCTTACTGACCACAAACATAAAAATATAACAAGTATTTTACTGACTTTATTGTTGTGTATGTCTCTGTTTTGTGTACTAGGTAGCAAAGGCTGTGTCTCACTCACTGAACGCATGTGTGAACTGTCTACCTGGACAAAAAGATGTTGATATGGCCCTGAAAAGCATTGGAGAAGCCAGCAAAAAACTACTTGTAGAGACGGTGAGCAACAAACAAGAAAATCCTTTTTCTTTCCTCCAAAAACTATTGTAGCTTGAAGGTTGCTAGAGCTATTCCTTAATATACTCTCTCTGCCCTCAACATAGTGCATGCAGTTATTAAATGTACATGGCCCTAATGTGTCTCTGGAGTGTTTTGTGACCTTTTTCTTTTTATTGCAGCTCCCTCCTTGCAGTAAGACCTTCCAGGAGGCTCAGAGTGACCTGAACCAGACCGCAGCCGATCTGAACCAGTCCGCAGGTGATGTGGTCCATGCCTCTAGAGGGACCACTATCAAGCTTGCAGATGCTTCTGGGAAGTTCAGTGAGGACTTTGATGAGTTTCTAGATGCTGGCATTGAGATGGCTGGCCATACACAGGTACGATGTGTGGAGCAGGACAGAACGTGAGAAGGTGGATAGGTCTTCCTTTTCCTAAAATAAGAAGGAATTCTTGGTTGTTTTTAGGGTAAGGATGATCAGATACAGGTGATTGGGAATTTGAAGAACATCTCAATGGCCTCCAGTAAGCTGCTGTTGGCAGCCAAGTCTTTATCTGTGGACCCTGGAGCAGGAAATGCAAAGAACCTGCTCGCTGCTGCTGCCAGGTACTTCACGCCGTGTTTATTCAGTTGTGTTTTATATATGCTCTTGTTTCTATTTTTAACCTCACTCCCCTGCATGTTTATTCAGAACGGTGACCGACAGCATCAATCAGCTGATTACCCTGTGTACCCAGAATGCCCCAGGACAGAGGGAATGTGACAATGCTCTAAGAGAGCTTGAGGTATTATATATAAACAATGCACAGTACTAAGTAATTTGTCTTACTATTGAAAAAAAATGGGATATTGTCTCTTTTTGTGGGTTACAGGCTGTTAGGGGACTGCTGGATAACCCGAATGAGCCAGTCAATGATCTCTCCTACTTTGACTGCATTGAAAGTGTCATGGAGAACTCTAAGGTAACAGCAACATGATTATATTGGACTGTAGTGGTGCGCAAATTGCAGTTTGGGATTGGGCGGTTTTGTTTTGTAAAAAACATGTTTTCACTGTGTTTTTTTTATTTATTAAATAAATGCAACCTTGATGAGCAAAATATCTTAAAAAAATCTTACAGACCCCACGCTTTTGAACGATAGCGTACATTATTATAAAAGTAAAAATAAAGTTTGCATATTGTGAATGGTATTAGCACTTTCAATTGCAATTGAATCTCACATACTTGCGGCCAGATTTACTAAAAAGGACAAATTAGCATGAGAGTGCAATTCCAAAAAAGCGCAGATGATCTACTGAAATCGTGCAAATTAAAGAACACTGATGCAGCCGGATCATTCAATAATGACCAACACAAATAATGGGCGGTAAATAATGGTGCAAATACCAGTAAATTGACTAGCACAAACCTTAGTAAATCACCTTGCATGATTAATTTAAGTACTCTACACCCCTAAATTTTGCATCTAAAAGGGAAACTCTTTCAAATGCATATTCAATAAGGTCAGCCGCAAAAATAACTGTCTATGCCTTTTCAGAGCTAATTTTTCACTGTGTGTCTTTAAATCCTGGCGGTAGTTTTTTAACGCCAAAAAAGGGTTTTCACTGGCGCAAGCTGTAAATCTGGCCCTAAATGGGCAAAATTCCTGTTAAGATGCTGAACTGCTGTGAACAAAACTAACAAAATTTCAATAAAAATATATATTTTTTTAAATTAAAAAAAAATCCTGAACTGCAACCATTCATATAGCCTGTTGATATTGGTAAATGTTAATGCACATCACTAAATGATGACTGATCTGTAATCCACGTCTTTCTGTTAGATACTCGGTGAGTCTATGGCCGGTATCTCACATAACTGTAAGACAGGAGATGTTCCAGCATTTGGAGACTGTGTGGGTGGAGCCTCTAAAGCTCTGTGTGGACTGACTGAAGCAGCTGGTCAGGTAAGAAACTACCAGCTTCATTCTCAACCATTAAACATTTTTTACCTCTGAACACTTTTACTTTGTGTATGTGCCGTTCATACTTGTTTTTTGGTGTGTCTCTAGGCTTCTTATCTAGTGGGTGTGTCTGACCCCAACAGCCAAGCTGGACATCCAGGCTTAGTGGATCCTATCCAGTTCGCTCGTGCTAATCAGGCAATCCAGATGGCTTGCCAAAATCTTGTTGACTCAGACAGTAGTCCTTCACAGGTAGCTTCGTTCTGTCAGATCTTGGGCATGTAGTGTTTCTTTCTGCAACATCTTAATCTGCACTTTTAAGGCCAAAATGTTCAAATGTGCATGTTGCAGGTGCTCTCAGCTGCCACCATTGTTGCCAAGCACACCTCAGCGCTGTGTAATGCTTGTCGACTGGCTTCATCTAAGACTGCCAACCCTGTGGCTAAAAGACACTTTGTGCAGTCAGCCAAAGAAGTGGCCAACAGCACAGCCAGCCTGGTCAAAACAATCAAGGTTAAACCACTCCTCTTTATAAATGATTCCAACTTTTATCCACTCCAATGACAGCAAATGATTGCTTTCTAGCATCATTTATTTTCCCTCTTCTCTCCCACCATAGGCATTAGATGGGGATTTCTCTGAGGAAAACCGTGAGAAATGTCGTGTTGCAACAGCGCCGCTCATTGAAGCTGTTGACAATCTGACTACGTTTGCTAGTGTACCTGCACAGATAAGTAAAGAGGTATGAGTTTCTTCTTCATTGAAATGTTATTCACAATTGAGTCATTCTTTTTGTTAATGATATTTATATTTTTATACTCACAATTTAGGGTTCTGCTGCACAGGAGCCAATCATCCAATCAGCACACTCCATGCTTGGCAGCTCCACCCACCTTTTGAAGACAGCACGGTCATTAGTTATGAACCCTAAAGATCCACCCACGTGGTCATTACTGGCAAGCCATTCACGCATCGTGTCAGACTCCATCAAGAGCCTCATCACTGCTATCAGGTAACACATATATACTCACTTTTGTTTTTAGTATGAGACGTGCAATAGAAATACATTTAAATAATTTGTGTTTATGTGATTTGGTATTACAGGGATAAAGCCCCTGGCCAAAAGGAATGTGACTCAGCCATTGATAATATCAATAAATGCATCCGAGATATTGAGCAGGCCTCTCTTGCAGCTGTCAGCCAGAATCTTCCTCCTAGAGATGAAGTTTCATCTGAGGTAAATGTGTTTCTACAGTAGCTACTCAGAATAGTGTTTATTACTAGCTTCATGGCTGTTATCACAACTCTATTGAGTAGTATATCAATTAGTATATCAATATGTATGTGTATATATATATATATATTTATATTTATGTGTGGGTGTGTGTGTTTAAAAATATATATAAAAGAGACCACTGACCATCGCAACACAACCCATCCTTAACACATGTTGTATTGTATCAGGCTTTGCAGGAGCAGTTAACATCATCTGTTCAGGAGGTGGGTCACCTGATTGAGCCGATTTCTACAGCAGCAAAAGGAGAAGCAGCACAGCTGGGACATAAGGTAAATAAAATTATGAAGCCTTTCCGGTCTAAAATTAGTTTTCATATAGTTTTCAACTCTAATGCATGCCATAAGTATGAACTTAAACCTTTCTCTGTTCCTCAGGTCTCTCAGTTGGTCAGTTACTTCACCCCGCTGGTCTCAGCCTCGATGGGCATGGCCTCCAAAATCTTCGATCATCAGCAGCAGATGAACCTTCTGGATCAGACCAAGACTCTTACTGAGTCTGCTCTACAAATGCTGTATGCTGCCAAGGAAGGGGGTGGAAACCCTAAGGTGCATGTCATCCATTCAAATATGTGATACCTCCATGTAAAATTTCAATCTTTTAACAGTTTCATTAACCCATTTTTCTTTAGGCCTTTCATACCCATGATGCCATAGCAGAAGCTGCACAGTTGATGAGGGAAGCTGTTGATGACCTCTTGCTGACCCTGAATGAAGCTGCTAGTGAGGTTGGCATGGTCAGTGGCATGGTGGATTCGATTGCTGATGCTATGGGGAAGGTAACAACCTACATACTTTTGCATTATAAACAGCCTTAATATACTTTATAATTACATTTAAATGAAAACTGTTTGATATTTTAAAGGGCACCTATTATGCAAAATTTACTTTTACATGGTGTTTGAGCATTAATGTGTTGGCAGTGTGTGTACACAACCACCCTATAAAGATATAAATTATTTTACTTATTATAATTATTACCTTCTTTTTTTTTAAATCCCCATAAATCATAAGCACTGTCTCGGAACAAGCGGTTTGCAGATCCTTGGCACTTTTCACAGGCCCCTCCCACGAATGTTGACGGACACTGCGTATTAGCATAGACCCGCCCTGAGTGAGCTGTACACAGTCCGCCATTGTTTTGACGGCGGAGCAGCTGTAGACAAGAATGTCTCCTAAGCGATTGAGGTGTTTTCTCATTTAATCACGACCAGTGGCGTAGAGCAAATCTTATTCTCTGGCTCTGTAGGCATTATTGTCCAACTCTGGTTCGAAATGAACACCGCTACTGAGGGTTTCTGTTCTGATATTTTCATTTTGTGAGATGAGATTGTCCTTACACCGAGGTGTGAGCTCTTGAAGCTCCGCCCTTTTCTTTAAAGGGGGCCAGAAGCACCAGCTCATTTGCATTTAAAGGGACACCCCCAAAAAGTGTCAATTTTAACATGCTGTAAAAAATTATCTGTGGGGTATTTTGAGCTAAAACTTAACATACACACATCAGAGACTTATTTTACATCTTGTAAAAATGGGGCATAATAGATACCCTTTAAGTGTTTAAAATAATTTAAAACAGCCATGTAGTGTTTAAATGATCTTGTGATCCTGTAGTTAGGTGAAGGTTCTCCACCAGAACCAGAAGGTTCATTTGTGGAATATCAGACCACCATGGTGAGATACTCCAAAGCTATTGCTGTCAGTGCGCAGGAGATGGTGAGCAATCGTAATTTTCTACATTTAATGTGTTTTATCCTGTATATCTATAAAACACAGTATAACATAAACATTTAGGCAGACTTATGTGTCCAATTTCATTGTATCGCTTTATTCTCTCCCTCAGATCACTAAATCAGTGAGTGCTCCAGAGGATCTGGGCAGTTTGGCCTCACAGGTCACTGCAGACTACAGTCAGCTTGCAGTTCAAGGACGTCTAGCTGCTGCTACTGCGGAACCAGAGGAGGTCATTGACATACAGCTGCACGGTCGGTCACTCTTTGTGTATCTCTCACTCACACGCTGACCCCTGTTTTGGTGATTTTTAGATCGGGTTCCAGATAAAGACACGTGTGCAGGAACTGGGGCACGGCTGCATTGTTCTCGTTCAGAAGGCTGGAGCGCTGCAGATCAGTCCATCTGACTCGTTCACAAAGAGAGAACTTATTGAGTGTGTACGAGCCGTCACTGAGAAGGTGCTGGAACAACACAGAGCAAATTCAGATGCATTACTTACAACTATCTATCAAAGAATTTGTTGTTCTCTGTTGAAATTACAGTTTCTCCATATAGTAGAATTGATTTTAATGTGTGTTTTCTGTAGGTGTCTATGGTGCTGTCTGCATTGCAAGCCGGTAATAAGGGCACTCAAGCCTGTATCACTGCAGCCAGTGCTGTATCGGGCATCATCGCTGACCTGGACACCACCATCATGTTTGCTTCTGCTGGTACACTCAATGCCGAGAACGATTCGGACTCCTTCGCTGATCACAGGTATCACACAAATATATAATACAATGGGGTAATTTACAGTCTACAGCTATTGGTGATACACTGAAATATAAAGTTATTGGGTGAAACAAAAAAAATGTGGACACATTGGGTCAAATTTAATCTGAAAGCAGAATATTAATACTTTAAATTAGACTTGTTTTGCAATAGAATTTTGACCCTTTTTCAGCTATAATTTTTAGATGGACAAAATTTTGGTGCATCTCTATCGGTCATTATTATACAAAATGAAACTAACGGGTGGTCTTGTATCATCCTGAAGGAATTTATTTTGCAGTTATTACCAGATAACTAACCAATATCATGCTTAATTACACTGCTGCATACCAAATTATTAAATAAGTGGACATTTAAAGGTGCTCTAAGCCATCGGTTCCCAACAGGGGGGTCGCGGCCCATAAGGGGGCCTCAGCGAGCTCTGGGGGGGGTCGCGTCATATTTTGAAAGGTTTGAGCAATGAGCATTAAATAAAAGTCCTTAACTTTTTTCTGTTCAAAATTTACAAAATGTATATAATGAGCGAGTTCATCATGAATCCATTTTCCAATCCGTGTTTTTGTCTTATCCTGAACCACTATGGTACACCTATAATAAGTGTTTACATTGGGACTATTTTACACTGGTTCGGATCGCTGCCGCTGCGGAGTAGCCCAGTGCCTGCGTGACGCGTCATAGACGTACACAGAGAGAAGTAGTTCCGGCTACAATGTTCTTCCGAAAGACGCCTTATTCTGTTAATAAACGCAAGTTTATTATCGCTCGCTATAGCGCCAAAAGTGTAAAAAATAAAGCCTCACATTGATAAAGCCTCACAAATAACATGCAAGTATTGAGGCCCCAGACAACAGTCATTTAGTAATAGCCTACGGTATATTCTTTCTTTTTTTTACCTACACACCAGTGTGAATATTTTTGGTTTTGCATTTCAAATAGGGCCAATATATAGGCTTCTCCTAGGCTTGCGTTTTTAAATTACAAAGGGCCTACTGATGTTTTTGTTATTGTATTTTCAATATTATAGGCTATTATTTGTGCTATAGGCTATTATTTGTGCATAAACAACATATTTGTTTGTTTGTTTGTTTGAAAACAACATATTTTGTCATCCTTGCTGCAAGCTTACAAGAGCGATAATATCATTAAATGTGAAGGGGGGCCCTAAAATATTTTCTTGAGAAAAAGGGGGTCTCAGACAAAAAAAGGTTGGGAACCACTGCTCTAAGCGATGTTGGGTGACGTCACTTCTTGTTGATGTTCGAAGTATTGTCAAACAAAACGGAGGCTAGCTAGACCCTCCCTCCTCCTCATCTGTGCACTAACCCCCCAAACCTCACCCCCAAATCCTTCTTGTTAGTTATTGGCTGGAACACTGTTTGTAATGTTTTTTCGTGGTGCGGGTTGGCCCAGTTTGTTTTTGTTGCCGTTTGTGGAGCCTGGGGTGTTTACAGAGATCGCATTTTTTTACACTGTGTTCAGGGGACAGACAGCTAGCGGATAGTGAGGAGATGTTTGCTGTATGTGACAAAAAATGTTTTGGCCTAAAAAACGTGTGACATTGCTTAGAGCACCTTTAAATATAGAATATATTTTGAATTGAATTTATTTTATTTGATATATTGAATTTATGAAAGGGATAGTTCAATGAAAATTCTGTCATCATTTACTCACCCTCAAGTTGTTCCAAACCTGTATGAATTTCTTTCTTCTGCTGAACACAAAAGAAGATATTGAAGAATGTCACTAACCAAACAGTTGATGGGTCCCATTGACTTTCATAGTATTTTTTTTTCCCATACTATGGAAGTCAATGGGGCCCATCAACTGTATGTTACCCATATTCCTTAATGTGAGGACCCATATTCCTTAATGTTTTTTGTATTCTGTGAGAGGAAATACTAGAGGGATACTACCGTGGATGGATACTAGAAACATTAAACAACACAGGAGATAGAACAGTCAAAAATATTTGACCCCAGAGCGCCACAATTGACCGATCAAGAAGGCAGCATGTGCAATCACTAATATGCAAGAAGGCAGAATACAATCACATATGTACATAAACATTATTATCAAACTTGTATCACTTCTCTCTCTCTCTCTTTTTGTTTTTAGGGAGAATATTCTGAAGACAGCTAAAGCGCTGGTGGAGGACACTAAGAACCTTGTTTCAGGTGCAGCATCAAGTCAAGAGAAGCTGGCCCAGGCTGCCCAATCTTCTGCCAAGACCATCACACAACTTACAGATGTGGTGAAATTGGGAGCGGCCAGCATAGGCCCAGATGACCCAGAAACACAGGTGAGAGTAAAGGGGAAAGTGATGAGGACAGAGAAGTCCAACACAGAGATTTAGCAGCAGCCAGTCGTAAGTCATCTTCCTGAAATGTGAATGTGTTATTATCATTCATCTCCTCGTAGGTGGTGTTGATCAACGCAGTGAAGGATGTTGCTAAAGCTTTGGCTGAGCTCATTAGCGCCACCAAGTGTGCAGCAGGAAAAGCTGCCGACGACCCCTCAATGTACCAGCTCAAGAGTGCAGCCAAGGTAGGACTGTGAAAAACACTCAGGCCTCGTTTCTGCGTAACATAAATGTTATTCTCCCTTTTGCAAATTTTCCTTCATACCTCAATAGCACAGAACTTGGTTAGAAACAGTCCAGCTAGACAATTAGCTGTTATATATTTGTCTCTGAAACTGTAATCTCCCAGTTGTCCCTCAGAAATCTGGCCGCAGGGGTGGAAATGTCTCCTAACTCAGATATCAGTAGAAGTGTTCTGGTGAGAAACTCATTTCAGTGTGTGCCATTAATCAGATTAATTATGAATGAGGAAATTAATCTGTGTTCTTCTCCATCCGCTACTGCACACTTAGTCCAACTATTGTGCCATAAATTGAACTACATGCTCTATTAATGGCATAGTTCTGCATGAGTTTGGAGTCAATAATTTTTAGGATTCAAAGAAATCATGGTTTAATCAACTTAACCTTAGATCCTTTAATTAGAATTAAGCAAGTGTATAAAGTTCTAGGGTATACATAGCTATTTTTATCTTTTTAATTAAAAAGATTAGGGAAAATAAGTTGTAGTCTATAAATAGCTTGTTTCCAAAGGCTTTTGCAATAGTGAATTTTGACATCAGATGTTTTCCTGTAAAAGTGCTATTAATGTTCACAAAGATTGTGATGTTCTTGAATCTAAAATGTAAGTGACTTGTGTGTGTTTGTGTCTCATCTTTTGTATTCAGGTTATGGTAACTAATGTAACATCCTTACTAAAAACGGTGAAGGCAGTGGAGGACGAGGCTTCAAGAGGAACCAGAGCTCTGGAATCCACTATCGAGTGCATTAAACAGGAACTCACAGTAAGACCGCAAACGCAGAAAACATGGTGTACTAATTGTCTATTTGTTATGTACCTTTTTCCTTTCCTTTTATTTTTCCAGCCCATAACATTTTATTTAAAGTTAAGGCCCTGATATACAAAGTTATTTTTTTGTCCTTAATTTAGGGGTAAAAAAAGTTTGAAATACCTTTGCAGCTGAATACCATTAGCAAACATCCCCGACACCACCCATGCTTCTTAGAGTGCCATTTAGATGACAGTGGTGAGAAAACAGCAGTAAAGAAAGCATCTAATCATGGTGATGATGCATGTGTTTGCACAAGCTCTGCAATACGGCATTTCAATCAAGTCACGTCACCTTTATTTATTTACCACTTTTTGCAATATATTGCTTTAAAACAAGCAGCTTTGCAGTATTAAACATGAATAAACAGTGTCAGTATCGCTTTCAGTTAGAATTACTTCAATATCTACTATAAAATAACACTCCAGTTTGTTCTAGTCTCACTCGTGTCTGACCTCGACAGACTGAACAGAAGAAATGAACTGGAGAAAATTTCTCAATCAAAGAAGGTGGAGCCTCATAGCACAACCTACGTATTACGTAATAACCACAAACCAATGCTGCTTACCAATCGGAGTGAACTTAGCTTGTCAAAAGCAAACTTTTCCAGATGTTTCGAACTCCAAACAAACTTTGTTTTGGCTTGGTTTTGTTTGAAATAATAATACAGTAATAATTTGTTTAGTTTATATAGTGCCTTTCCCAAGCTCAAGGACGCTTCACAATAACAGTAAAGAACAAACAATCAGTTCATACACAAATGGACAGTAGACATTTGCCCAGTCCAAGAAATGAGCGATTGCAGTTGCATATCGCATTGCAATTGGAATACAAACAGAAACAATAACAGAAACAAAAAACAACACTATTTACACACAGCATAGAAGGTGGGCAGTTGAAGCAAAGGTTAGATGCAAAAGGCTAATGGTACATAAGGAAACTGACTGTAATACAGAGTTATGGAAAATGTTTAAGAAAAACATATCATGACTGATTATAATACTGTTTAAACAAATGGGTTTTGAGATTAGACTTAAATTCATGCAGCGTGGTTGTTGTCCTAAGAGCCAGGGGAAGAGAGTTCCATAGCTTATAGGGGCTATAACGGAGAAAGACCTGCCACCCATAGATGAAAGACGAAATCTAGGCTCACAGAGGAGTTCACAGCCAGAAGATCGGAGAGGTCGAGGGGGAATATAAGGAGAAAGTAAGTTAGAGAGATAGGAAGGAGCAAGACCATTGAGTGACTTAAAGGTAAGCTGAAGAATTTAAGTAATACGAGAAAACACGGGTAGCCAGTGGAGGTTGAACAGAATTGGAGTGATAGGAGCAGAGCAGATCGTTTAGTGTAAGTTAGCAATCTTGCGGCAGAGTTTTGAATATATTGCAAACGTGAGATATAATGTGCTGGTTGTCCAGAAAAAAATAACATTACAGTAGTCGAGGCGAGATGTGATAAACGCATGTACCAGCGATTCAGCGTCTTTTGGGCTGACATCGGGACGGAGTTTGGCAATACGGTGGAGTTGAAAAAATTCAGCTTTACAGAGTTGACTAATATAAGCGTTGAAGGTCAGTGAAGGGTCAAGAGTGATACCCAAGTTTTTAACAGTGGCAGATGGAATAATTGATGTAGCTTCAAGGTCAAGAGTGGGAGTATTAGTTATATTTTTTGTTAGAGATGGTGGACCAGTAATTAAGATTTCTGTTTTAGTCAGATTCAAACTGAGAAAATTTCAGTTTAGCCAGGTCTTTAATTCATTAATACATGATGATAGTTATGTAGTCTGGATAGAGTCCGGTCAGAAAGCAGTATATATCTGAATATCGTCGGCATAACAGTGGTATTGAAAACTATGGCGGCGAATAATTTGTCCGAGAGGCAAAATGTAAATAGTAATGGGCCGAGAACTGATCCCTGTGGAACACCTTGTTTGAGAATGACAATGGGAGATTTATAATTGTGCATGGTGATATGGTATTTTCTGTCTGTCAGATAGGAGGAAAACCAGGATAGCACGGCTCCTGAGATACCAATCTCTGAGAGGCGCATGAGTAAGAATTTATGACAGACAGTATCAAAAGCTGAGCTGAGGTCGAGTAATAAAAGTATGGAGAGGTTTCCCGAGTCACCAGAGAGTAAGAGGTCATTGATAACCTTTAAAATGAAAACGAAATGACGTCACACCAGTTTGTTCTTCGATTTCCCTTGAAGTGCATCGAGGCCTTTAAAGTTAACCATCCTTTTCTTTCATTTGACCTTAATTTTGACCTTTTTTTATTTAAGTGCTAATTACAAATCGTACACATACATAGACAAGCATGGTTACAAAGCTAAATGTGAAACATCCCAATTGACAATTATGTTGTCATTGTACTCAGATGTTCCAGTCTAAAGAAGCCCCTGAGAAGTCAACTACTCCAGAAGAGTTCATTCGCATGACGAAGGGCATCACCACTGCAACTGCTAAAGCTGTTGCAGCAGGAAATTCTGCCAGACAGGAAGATGTCATCTCCACGGCGAACCTCAGCCGCAAGGTCATAACCGATATGCTGACCACATGCAAGGTGTGTTTTCTGACAGTGTCCATCTATGCTTTATTAGCGAAGTTAGCGAAGGTGGTTTTTGTGTGCGTAATGGACTAAGTATTTTCCACCTCAGCAAGCGGCATATCACGAGGAAGTGAGTGACGACGTCAGGAGAAGAGCTCTGCTATACGGCACTGAATGTACCAATGGATATATAGATCTCCTAGAGCATGTCCTACAGGTACAAACACACACTCGTTCACACACAAAATGCATCTGTACAGTGCTTTGCTGCTTCAGGATTATGCTCTTTTAAAGGTTTCTAAATTTGGTTTTGGAGGTCTCCTACAATAGGTTTACATGCATCCAAGGTCAAAAACACTTTAATTTTATCTTAATGTACATTTCAACATCGATGTACAGTGCCTTGCGAAAGTATTTTTTGCCCTTCGTTTTCCCCCCCCACATTTTATGTTGCAGACTAATGCTAAACTGCTTTAAATGACTTGTTTCCCCCATCAATCTACACTCCATACACTATAATAACAAAGCAATCAACAGATTTTTCTATAAATTTATTAAAAATAAATGTCCCAGAGAAGGGTATGAATATTTATGCACCCATACACTTTTCTGGGAAGCTCAAGAGCATTTCAATTTCGCTTGTAGATGTTATTACCCTTTCAGTGGAGTTAACCTGTGGCAAAATCAATTGAATGGGTATGATTTGGAAAGGCACACATCTCTCAATAAAAGGTTTAACAGCTGAAAATGCATATCAGAGCAAAGACCTAGCCATGAGGTCAAAGGAACTGCCTATAGGGCTTAGAGACTCTGTTGTGTCAAGATACAGATCTGAGAAAGACTACAAAATAAATTCTGCTGCATTAAAGGTTCACAGAGGCATGTAGCCTCCATAATCCTTAATGGAAAAGTTTGGAACAACCAGGACTCTTCCCTAGAGCTGGCCTCCAAACTGAGCAGTCGGTTAAGAAGGGCTTTGGTTAGAGTGTTGAGCATTAAGCTGATGGTCACTCTAGTTGAGCTCCATGATCATAATATGGAGATGGGAGAAACTTACAGAAGGACAAATATCACTGCAACACTCCACCGATCTGGGCTTTATGGCAGTGTGGCCAGACTAAAACCTCTCCTCAGTGATGAAGACACATGAAAACTCACTTGGAATTAGCAAAAAAAAACTCCTAAATGACTCTCAGACTGTGAGAAACAAGAATATCTGATCTGAGGAATCTCAGTTCCAAGCGTCATGTGTGGAGGAAAACAGGCACTGTTTTTACCTACACAATACCATCCCAACAGTAAAGTGTGGTGGTAGCAGCATCATGCTGTGGGGGTGATCTTCTGTGGTAGGGACTGGGCGACTCTGGACGCCTTAATGAAAACCTAGTCCAGAGCATTCAGAACCTCAGACTGGGCAGACGGTTCACATTCCAACAGGACAATGACCCTAAATACACAGCTAATACAATGCAAGAGTGGCTTATAAACAACTCTGTGAATGTCCTTGAGTGGCCCAGCCAGAGCCTTGGATTGAACCTAATAGAACATCTATGAAGAAAGCTGAAAATGTTTGTCCACCGACGGTCCCCATCCAACCTGACAGAGCATGAGAGGATCTGAGAAGAATGGCAGAAAATACCCAAATGCAGATGTGCAAAGCTTGTCACATCATACCCAAAAAGGCTGTAAAAGTTGAGTTAAGGGTACAAATACTTATGCAATGTACTTATTTCAGTTGTACAACAACGTTGTCACATGTTTTTATTATTATTTTTTGCTTTGTCATTATGGTGTATGGAGTATAGATTGATGTGAAAAAAAGTAATTTAAAGTAGTTTGTGATTTGTAAAATGTGAAGAAAAAAAATGAAGGGTACGAATAGTTTCGCAAGGCACTGTATATTATGTGAGCTTTTCTCACGCTGTCTCCTATCCGAGAGCCTACTCTGCTCTAATTGGTCAGATGGCCCAGTCTGTTTTGATTGGTCTACCGCTTATAGTGCTTGTTGGACCACGTGAATTTCTGCTCCGGGGGTTTTCTCAGCACTTTTATACACAGTTATGCGGACAGTAACGATCCCCTCGGTTTAACTGTGTCAATTCAAGCCTGAGTCCTCACCCTTTGGAAGTGCATGCAATTTGGATTTGCTTTCGCAGAGCATAAAACAGTGTATTTTTGACATGTGAGCAAAACGAACCAAACTCTTCCAGGCCTCAGCTATAACTAACTACAGTGTTTGAGGGCGGGTCAAAGTAGACATTTTTCGCAGGCAACCAATGAAGACCATAGGCTGGAATTATGCAAATGTATTAAAAACCTATGAAGGTTTGTGCAGGAAGAAAGACTGGAATTACTGACGACTCATTTCAAACAGTTCAGAATCGGTCCATTCTTTTCCATTTATCATGCAACTTTGCCAGCCTTTTTACATTCACAAACAGCTATATAACACACTACATGAAAAGTAATATCTGAAAAAAGCATAATAGGGGGAGTTTAACCAGAACTGTTTATGTGCATAAATATTTGTTTCAGGTCTTACAAAAGCCAACAGGTGACCAGAAACAGAAGTTGGCGATGTTCTCTAAGAAGGTTGCTGCAGCTGTTACTGAACTGATTCAGACAGCAGAGGCCATGAAAGGTAAACTCACGCACAGACACACACCTTCATTAAGACATATACACACTCGCTCAGTGTAATCTGTGGATTTATTGTGCTGAGTAAAGTTTCCTGTCTTTCCCGTCTCGCTCAAGATGTGGGTGAGTACCATGAGACTCCAGTACAAATGTTATTCCATCTTTGCAAACTCCATTTAGAACACTTACTTATTTAACCACATTTGTGTCTTGTTCATTTGTTTTGATTCATTTCATTTGTGTGCAACACTGTGGCAAAATGAATTACACTCTGGCATGTTTGTTTTAAAAGGCAGCATCCATTGCCCATGCAACTGACACACCACGTTTAGTTATTGCAGCATGCCGTCTATGTGTCGAATCTAGGCCTGCCAAACAGTTGATCAGTGTGTGTATTGTGTGTTTAGGCACTGAGTGGGTCGACCCTGAGGATCCTACTGTGATCGCTGAAACTGAGTTATTGGGAGCTGCTGCCTCAATTGAAGCAGCGGCCAAGAAACTTGAGCAGCTCAAACCAAGAGCCAAACCAAGGGTAATGAACATGCTTAATGCACTGTTTAAAGACTCACCAAGGCTGCATTTATGATTTTTGGAATGTGTGACACTGCAGACTGGAGTAATGGCTGCTGAAAATTCAGCTTTTCCATTACATAAATAAATGACATTTTGAAATAAATATATTATAATAGAAAACAGCTTTTTTAAATTGTAGTAATATTTCACAATGTTACTATTTTTACTGTATTTTTGATCAAATAAATGCAGCCCTGGTGAGCATAAGAGATTCTTAATGACTTGTAGTATATTAATGTAATATGTATTAATTATATATAATGTATATTTGTATTCTATAATAAATTTAAAACTGTTATATGTTTGCATGTATTTGTAGTGTACTGGAATTCAAAATGCCACAAGATGTTGATCATGCTCATTCCCCAAAAATGGCTTAATTATCATAGAGAACAACAAAGTCCACAATTTATATATATATATATATATATATATATATATATATATAAAATTACAAATATATTGTTTGTTGTATAAGAAAAACATGTACAGTCAGTGGCCAAGATTATTACTACAATAATGCAATATTAATAATGTTAATATGATTCATTTTTCCAAATGTTTTGTATTTTTCCCCTCAACTGCAAATGTAAACGATATAACATAGGGAGCTAATGTAATGAACCCTGAACATCTAAAGCTCAAACCTTTTATACAGTATTTAAATAAAGTTGTTACTGTTTTAACAGCTGTGCACTGTATGTTAATAAAGTTCAGACACCCTATTGTCTGAGATGGCTCTCAGATTCCCACACATGTTCCCATTCTACAATTGATGACTATTTGCTTAGGATGTGATGCACTTAAATGTGGCGGAAACAATAAAATTGTGGACTTTGTTGTTCTCTATGATAATTAAGCCATTTTTGGGGAATGAGCATGATCAACCACCTATCTTGGAGGGGAATCTGGGTCGGGGCATACTATAATTTCTTACAGGAGCTAATTCATTATTAACTCTTAAAGAAACAACATTACTGATCATTTTCATTTCAAAAGACACCTTTTTGTTATTGTTGTTCCACCAATCAAATTAAATGTAACAACTGAACTTTTCCTATTTTTTCTTTGCAGCAAGCTGATGAGAGTTTAAACTTTGAAGAGCAGATACTTGAGGCAGCCAAATCTATCGCTGCAGCCACCAGCGCCCTTGTAAAATCAGCTTCAGCAGCTCAGAGAGAACTCGTTGCCCAAGGCAAGGTAAGAAAACATAGCATGAACCAAAAAAAGCTTTGACTAGTCTGTATAATGTTCGCATGAAACTGACATTACGATAGTCTTTTCTTCCCTATTGTGACACATATCCTTCTTGAAAGAGAAAAAAAGTGTAGGGCATGACTTGATTTTGTCCATTGGGAATTGATTGGATCGTTGTGATCTCATGTGAGAGACAGGTTGTCCCGCCCTCATCATCAGAAAAGAGAAAGGATCATGCTGCAAGAGGGAGGGGAAGCTCTTGTTATTCAATATTACGAGGGCACATGAATTTTGAAAAAATAATGATACATTGACTTCATAGCCTGACTTTGAAAGCAACTGTTTCTTGTATTTTTCATTGACTCATTGCCATCTTTTTTCCTTTGTGAAGGTGGGAGCCATCCCTGCCAACGCTGTGGATGATGGACAGTGGTCTCAAGGGCTGATATCTGCTGTAAGTCCTTAAGCATTTAACAGTGACAATAAAATGTCATCATGTTGTATCCCTGAATGACTGCTTTGCTTCCTCACTGTTACAGGCACGCATGGTTGCCGCAGCCACCAGTAATCTCTGTGAGGCAGCAAACGCATCAGTCCAAGGCCATGCCAGTGAGGAAAAGCTCATCTCTTCTGCCAAACAAGTGGCTGCTTCCACTGCACAGCTGTTGGTGGCGTGCAAGGTTAAAGCTGACCAGGATTCAGAGGCTATGAGGAGGCTACAGGTATATACGGTTACATAAAGAAAAAAGATTTCAATAATTCTGATATTCAAATAGTAACTGCACTGTAAAGGCCCCGATATACTCATGGTGAAGTTCATTCTTTTTCGTTCTTCGTTAAGGGGTAAAACGAAGTTTGAAATACGTGAGCAACGATTAATGTCAGCGAACATCCGATGCTGAGAGCGGCATTTAGAGGAATATGTAAATGGGTGCTGTGCACTTTCCTCTCAACAACAAAATAAACACAACAAAAATGAGAAAACAGCAAGCATTTTTTAATAAAGCATAAGAAAAGCATCTGATCATCATAGCAACGCGGATATGTTTGCACGAGCTCTGCAATTCGTCACTTTAGTAAAGTCACGTCATGTTTATTTTTATATCACTTTATACAAAAGATTGCTTCAAATCAAGCAGCTTTAAAGGTCCCGTTCTTCGCGATTCCATTTTTCAAACTTTAGTTAGTGTGTAATGTTGCTGTTAGAGCATAAATAATACCTGTAAAATTATAAAGCTCAAAGTTCAATGCCTAGCGAGATATTTTATTTAACAGAAGTCCCCTTTCAAAGCATACAACGAACGGCCGGTTTGGACTACATTCCTCTACTTCCTTTTTTAATGACGTAACTAGAACAGTTTTTTGACTAATCTCCGCCCACAGGAATACACAAAAAAGGGGGCGTGGTCTTGTTGCGCTCCCACGGAGAAGAAGCACTTCAGCTGCTCATGCATCTCCAATTTATGGTTAGAGGCGTGACCTTTCCGGGCAACGTGCAATAAGCTGCTGTCGAATCACAACACAGGAACCGCTGGCACAATCAGAACTCGCTACGTATTTCTGAAGGAGGGACTTAATAGAACAAGGAAGTCATCAGGCCGTTTTTTGGACAGTGAAAACAGCGGTATACAGATAAGTAAATTGTGTGAAAAATACTGGTTTTTTTACACGCGAAACATGAACACATGTTATATTGCACACTGTAAACACAATCAAAGCTTCAAAAAAACATGAAGAACGGGACCTTTAATGTATTAAACATGAAAATCAAGCAGCTCTCCTGTGTGTTATTGTTTTCCCTCGCGGACTAAAAGTTTCGAACTCCCAAAACGAGCTCTAAACGAACTTCGTTTTGGCCTGATTTTGTTCGAAATGATGTCCCAGCAGTTCATTATTCGATTTCGCTTGCAGTATGTCGGGGCCTTAAATATTCACAAGTAAGCCTAGGCTTACCGTACTATCTTCATATACTATCTATTTCATAGAGGTATTTCTTGAACTTCTTTTGTGTTATGTGCAGGCTGCAGGCAATGCTGTGAAACGTGCCTCTGACAGTCTGGTTCGAGCTGCCCAGAAAGCTGCTTTCAACAAGGCTGATGATGACAATGTGGTGGTCAAGACCAGGTTTGTCGGAGGAATTGCTCAGGTAAGATTTGCAGGCTGAATTCTATCTATGGTTTATTTAATAATAATTTTATTAAATATTAATTATTTATTAATTCTATTTTTCATAATCTATATTAATAATATATTTGATTATTGTTGTTGTTAATAATAATAATAATAAATAAAATATTTACGTATAAAATGGTAACACTTTACAATGAGGTTCATTAGTTAAAAAACGTAGTTAACATGAACTAAGAATGAACAATAATTTTATAGCATTTATTAATCTTAGTTAATATTAATTTCAACATTTAGAGTTAATGAACTGTGAACTAACATGAACAAACAATGAACCGGTGTATGTTTATTAACAAAGATGAACTAATACAGTAACAAATGTATTGCTCATTGTTAGTTCATGTTAGTTAATACATTAACCAAAGTTAACTAATGAACCTTATTGTAAAGTGTTACCTAGAAAATTAAATGTGCATAAATATGTACACTCAGAATGCACATACGCTTTTTTTTATTGTTGTAGTTATTTTATAATAAAAATGTTATGTAAATTTATGTAGAAAATTAAATGTGTGTAAATGTGCAATTTAATACAAAACCACTGAATGTCTAAAATGCATCTTTACCAATGATTTTTTCCTTGATGCCCATGTTTTTGTGAAGTTAAATAGATAGTTAAGTAAATAAATACATTTATGTAGACAACAAAATGTGTCTAAATGGGTAATGTAATGCTAAACCACTCTGAATACATTTTTTGGCACGTTCCCTGTTTTTTTGTGTCTGTATATATATATTTTTTATATATATGTATGTTATTTATTTAATTTATTTATGCTGCCCCATATTAGCTTTATTCAGTTATTGTTTTTGAATACTCTATTTATTGAGATACAACCTATGCCAGTATAATACAACAATATCATACATTTAAAGTTAGATCACTTTTACATAATAATAAAAAAGAAAATATACATAAAATAGAAAACTAAAAAAAAGAGAGAAAAAAACAGGCACAGGTCAATTAGGATAGCTACACCTTAAGAAGAGTTGGAAATAATCATGCATACAAGAGATACATTATGAAATCTTGGGGGTAATTTAGTAAAAATAGTAAATGATTAAATGACTAATAATTTAGTAGTAATAACATGTGAGTGAAAATAGGTTGAGAATCAAGTTATTTTATTCTGCACATGTTAAGTCATTCATTATATTACTAAAATCAGAATTTGAAATAAAGGATATAAAGGGTTTCCAAATAGTCTTAAAAAAAGACAATTTACCTTTCAAAATATATGTAATCTTTTCCATTGACGAACAAAAGGACATATTATTGATCCACTGTACAATAGGTGTATTTTCCACTTTCTTCCAATACATAGCTATTAAACGCTTTGCTTGAAGTATACATATGTCAATGAATCTATGAGTGCTGCTACAATGTACCATATTCTCGGGAAAAATCCCCAAAATAAACATTTCTGGTCTCACTGGGAGATTGACAGTTACCGTCTTAGAAATTTGTAAAATTTCAGTTATTGTTTTAATTGTGTTCCATTATCCATTGGCCCAGATTATTGCTGCTCAGGAGGAGATGTTGAGGAAGGAGAGGGAGCTGGAAGAGGCCCGTAAGAAGCTGGCACAGATCAGACAACAACAGTACAAGTTCCTGCCAAGTGAACTCAGAGAAGATGAGGACTAAACATATATGTTGGCTTCCTCGTGATCAAGTTGTCCACCATTTGATTTTTGTCTTCAGAGCGCAGGTGGATTTCTCTTCGACCTATAGTGCAGTCCATACAACACCTACGAAATTGATGAAGGGTTATTGAATTAGGTGACTGGATTGTGATTTTTTTTTTTTTTATATTTAAACTCTTGAAGAACTATACAAACAACAACCATCTCATCTCCTTTACCGTGAATGTGTTCATGCCTCCACCACACCCTCATGAAGAAGCTTTGGATTTCTGGCATGATTCTGAACTTGTCAATGTGTGCATGTTCGTGCCGAACAGCGGGATTACACTTGTGGGATTGGAGTGTTGAGGATGAACTAATGAGATGGGCCTGTTTGAGCTCAGTCATTAAAATAAAGCATTTTAGGGTTTCAAACAAGGTACAGACTTTGACATTTACATCAAGTTTAAAGTCGAGCAGAAAGGAAACCTGATTGTTAGAGAAGAGCCTTTTAAACTCCAGTTGAATGTTTAACACTTGTACATTTGTAATGGTGAGATACATTTTTTATGCTTCACTTTCATTGCTTCGAAGTTCACAAAGTATACAAATAAAAGATATTTATGTAGCGAAATGTGCGTACATGTGCAATGTAAAACAAAATCACTCAGAATGAAAAGTCTAAAATGCAGCTTCTCAAATGATTTTTTCCTTGCTGAATACGCTTTTTGAGAATGCAATGACCAGATGTAGTGATTCATGGATTATAAATGGAGAATCAAAAGACCATATTAACCTCAGAAAAGTACTGTGGAAAACCCACCTCTAACCCCTTAAAAGCTTTTTAAAAAATGACCTTAAACCACATCAGATTTTTTTTTTTACATGAAAATACTGAATGTATGTGTTAAAATGTAATGGAATTGAATTTCTCATATTTGTTGTCTGCAGGAATGAGGATGTATGTTTAAAATGCTGATTGAATGTTTCTTTTCACTTTTGGTAGAGCCAGACATACTGTAACTTCAACATTTATGCAAATTTTTAAGAGTGATTTTTTTTTTTTTTTTTCGTCCTGAAATTATTGGCCACTGCAGTATTTTATAGTGCTGTTTGTAGCTACTTTGAGTGATTTTCTTTTTCTTTTCATCATATCCCTTATCTAAATTTTCTAAATCATTTGATGCTGGTATGACTTTCTGATTTTTAGCCTTATCTTCTGGTGTGTCACTTTTATGCTTGTATGATGGTCATATGCAATCCTGGAAATCACATTCGGTTCTCAGTGCTTCATTGCTTTGCTACGACAGCACTCCTTTCTCTGGCTTTTTGTACATTTAGTTTCAGTGCCTTAGTTTATCAGTCAAATGAACGTATCAGTTCTCTGACTGCAGGAGACAAGATCAGGTGTGTGCTTTCTGGCTTGCATTCACCGTAGTGTGTCTGTCAAAGCTGAGTTGCTGCTTATCTGTTACTACTTATGTGCTCTCTGATGCTCAGAGCTGGAAGAGTACGAGTTGGAGTTTGGTAATGACTGCAACACGTCATTGTCTGTCATAACATTAACTTTAAGCAGTTCCTCCCTTTAGCTATAGTTCTGTCTGGAAAGTGTCTGTCTGCTTCATGTTGCTGTAAATGTATATGGCTTATATACGAATATGTGTCTATGTTAAGACGGCACATGTTTGTCCTGCATTTCTTGTGCATGCTTCGTGTCATCTAATGGCAGAGTTGCAGAATGATCAATGTTGCCATCTCATGCATTGACTATAGAAGAGTCTAAAATATTGAGAAATTCCTGAATGTGACTTCACATTTTGAAAAATCAATTGACTTATTTTTGGGTGTCTTTGAATAATTGCTTGTAGCATTGCCGTAAAAGCGTAGACCTGAAGTTACATGTAAAGCATCTGTCTATAATGAAGAACATTTTAACTTAAAATAAAGTATAGTTCTCTTCATATGGAATGCTTTTCTTATACCTTGCCTGAGAGTGAATTGGTAATGGAACTACAGTATAAGTTGCTGGTTGTGCACTGAACCGTGTTAGAGAGTTCACTATCACAATTCTTATTTTATAAGGTTTCTTATTGGAGAATGAACTCTCACAAACATTTTAATTTATTCTTTCATTTATTATATTACAAAAACATTTGCATGGGCATCAGCTGCCCGTCACTTCCCTTAGTTTAATCACGTGTGTATTTAATGTGTACAATGTATACTTTGTTAATTTTATAATAATAATAGTAGTAATAATAATACTAAGTTGTAGTAATTTATAATAATAATAGTAATAATAATACTAAGTTGTAGTAATTATTAATTGTATTCATACTTTTTAGTCATAGTTTAAATTAATATTTAAAAAACATGCACTGAAAAAAACAAGTAAAATTTACTTAAGTTTTCTTTTGCAAGATTTTGTTTACTTTTAAGTAAAAAATAACAAAGAAAATAAGTAACTGTAACTTGGCCAGTAAAAGTTTGAGTTGCAAATAAACTCCAGATGTCACAAAATGACAAGTTACTAAACCTAACAAAAGCAAAGATAAAACCATACAGCTGGAAAACAGAGAAAAATCAACCGTATTAATTAGTCATGCCCCAGTGTATGATGGGAACAACAGTATCAAAAAAAAAGTTGAGTAGGTTTTACTTCATTTTTAATCTTTTTTTATTTTTTTACAATTTAAGTTCTACAAGTTCTACTTGAATTCTCGACTTAACTATTTAATGTAGAAATTACATTTGTTTTTTTTCGGTAGTATTTACTTCACCACAGAATCATTTTTATCAGTAGACCGGCAATAAAGGGAAACAAAAAGTAATATAAAATAGTTGGCAGCTGAGAGACTCCGCTTCAAAAAGTTAATCACAAAAAGGTCAAATACACAAGTTTAGTATTTGTGACAAAATATTCATATTTTGCTATCTCGCATGAACTATGCTTGAGTTTGGATTAATGTTCTTCGCAGTCATCTGTAAATATGTATAGTCTCAATTTAGAAAGTTATAAATCTTTTGCAAGATGCCTAATAGAAGCAAGTTTACCTTCTATAGCTTCTCACCCTTCTCCCCTATAGTAATGCTTTGTGAGATTTATGCATTTAAAAAAAGGTACTTTGCATCTCTGATTTGTTAAATCGACTGACACAAATATTGTCTCGTTCTTTTAAAGCATGTATCAGTTTCCTGTTTCTAGCGATTTTGCTGTTATTCTGAGACATTCTTAATGATTGTAAACTGAGATAATGTAATCTGGTCCTGTCAACTCTGTATGGCAGTACTGCACTAAGTTCATGCTGGCTGCCCCTTTAAGCCAGTCTTTGGCATGGGGTAGGGCTGAGGTGGTATGTCTTAGTCAGCATGAGGGTATGGGGCTATATTGGGTGGGATCACATACGCAGAGAGGTGCTAATTTTAGTCCCCTGTGGGGAGATGATCATAGCAGATATGCATGTTTAAAGATTTACAGTTAGTACAATTGGAGTTTCAATTGGTTTGGCAAGTAACTGGTAAATGTTCCCAGGCAGACATTTCAAGCATTATGATTTTAGTGGGAGAGAGGGAAAGATGGTGAGAAGTGAACCCATTGTGTAGTTATTTTATGTGTCAACATTATGGAGTTCATGGCTATTTAATTCCATTCCATCATAATAGCACCTCTCTAGCAATACTTTAATCTCTCAGTTAACAGAATATAACCATTCTAAACATTCAAAGTGTTCATTTTACTAGTTTTCATTAGCACAAAATTTGTTTTGCTGCTTTGTGTAAATCAATTTCAGACTAAATTCCTAAAAATAAAGGTGGCATTGCTTCACTGAAAGGTTCATCGAAAAACTCAGACTGGTTTGCTGTGACAACTCACATTTGGAACATTTTAAGAGTGTGTATTACTGCAAATTACATCATTCAAATGATACAAAATAGTATCAAAGTTAGCAGCATCCAGAAAATCTTAAAGTTAAATCAAAGGCATTTAGCAGGCTGAAGTGCCAGGTGTAAATGTACCGTTGAAAGGTTTTCCCCATGAGGAAGCTTTGCACGTCTGCTTGAATGTCTCTGGCTATAACTTGTTAGTCTGATCTTCCTGGAAGACTAAAAGCGGTGAGGAAAAGAATGAAACTAGACTAATTGATTTTAATCTATTTTAAGGCATACAGAAACAATTCTAAGTGTATGTTTTTCCATCAGCATCTCTGCACAAAAAGGTTGCTTTAACCCAATGTAAGACCATGAAGGCAAAGAAAGTGTCCATGTTACACATTTCATGCACTGAATGACCGCACTAAACATGCACATAAAAGCGGTTCCATACAAATTAAGTGCATGTAGTTCATTAGTAAAGTTCAGTACATTTGTAATAGGCGGCTACACAATGATATAAACACTGTTGTGTGATCCATGATTAAGATTAGTTGTGCATGTTGCAAAGCTTGTCTTACAACAGCTAAGAAGAGACTGTAGCAGGTGCTTCCTTCAGGAGGGGAAGGGTAAAAATAACCTCCTGGAAAAAGTTCATGGAGTGGGAATGTGAGAGTGTAAGAAATTAGCCTAATGTTAAGTGCAAACACCTCAGCTTTGAAGAAACACTCTTATGGTCTTCTTATCCAATGACACCTTTACATTAAAACTCTTATGATGGTAAAAACTGTAGAACAAACACAATGTACAAATTTTCTCTCCTAACTTGCACGTGTAAGATATTGACCCAAGTAACCTCAGTCGTAAGTGACAATTTATTAAACGGTGTAGCAAAGTCCATATAGACGCGTTACATGAGGCTTGTATCTTCGCGGCATGGCCGACAGCTGTAGCTTTGCCACACGACACGTCGTTGTGATTCCAAGAGATTTGGGGGGTTTTACCGCGGCCGATTTAAGCCAGCACGATGCTTGAATGAATGCTAGCGTGCTGAGAGATTGCTGTTCAACAGCCACCGTATCTAAAGCTCTTCAGATTATGAACAATGCCCGAGGGACTCGTTGACATGCCTCTCTGTTACGAGACTGACCCAGAGATAGTAACACCTTTCCTTAAGATAATCACTTTCATGAGACCCTCGTGTGCTGTATAAAACCAATCGATTTTTTTCTTTAAAATACTTTTATTTTTCTTCGTAAATAATTTATGAGGGTAAATAATAAGCATTTTATATGTTGGGGCTAGCATAATCAGCGTTTAGCGTAAACTGGACAGCGGGTAAATTGCTTTCCGGACAGTTTTGCTCCTCTTCCCTCGATTTCTCTTCAGGTTCAGGGTGTTAGAAATAGGAACGCGGACCCCTTGTAAGACGTCTTGGCCCTCAGATCCCATATATAGGCATTTCAATGGTCAAATGTCTGAGGGCAGCGAATCGCCGTCCAGATCCTTAAAAAAAGACGCGAGGCAGGAGGAACCGCTAAGGGACCTTCCCTAAAAAGTATTGGGTGTCTTGCGGAACTTCTCAGGCTCCTGTGAAGGCACATATTTGACAGGCTACAGCGAGACGAGCTCGCACTCCAGCTCAGCGTTCGGTTCAGCACAGACGCTCATCGCCTCTCTCAGTTCGGTGTGACCACCCATACACTAACACAGCCATGGATGCCATTAAGAAGAAGATGCAGATGCTCAAGCTCGACAAGGAGAATGCCTTGGACAGAGCAGAGCAGGCTGAGGGTGATAAGAAGGGAGCAGAGGACAGAAGCAAACAGGTTGGACATGGGCATCCGGGTGTCTCTTGTACACCTTTTATACATCAGACTTTATGAAGTCTGATTTTTGTTTTCTCAACTTATTATGCTGTAGCATATGGCATTATTCTATTTTTAATATGTTTTTTTCTATATCTATTTCATAATCTTTTTTATTTCTATTTCTCATTCTATTTTTTTTTTTTTTTCATTATAGATGTCTCACTAATACTTTAGACCGTCTTTTTTTTATAGGCCTGCATGGTTAATTGATGAATGGCAGTTGTTCTTGTGCATATCCTTGTCCATTGACACACGTGCTCTTCGTGCAGCTTGAAGATGACCTGGTCGCCCTGCAGAAGAAACTGAAGGGCACAGAGGATGAGTTGGACAAATACTCCGAGGCCCTTAAGGATGCTCAGGAAAAACTGGAGCTGGCTGAGAAGAAAGCTGCCGATGTAAGCATGCCGTCTGATGTCACGCGTAACCTGTGCCCACCCCTGCTAGGCAGTCTGTTGAACTTATTATATAGGCTACACGTGATTTCATATACCACCTCATACTTTGGCAATGTTTTACCGACTAAACTTTATCGGAAACTACTGAATATGTATTTTAAAATGACTCAAGGCCATTCTTAAAAGTTGTTGCTCCACCTGGTAAACGAATACCATGTACAGTTGCAGGGGAGTGTATGCAAACGGCGAGTTAAATTTAGCAGTGCGCTTT